TTATTTTGAAGCAGTTATTTTCTGACCAGGATATTCACGTAGACTCTCCTGTGGTACAGAGAAAGGATGAAAATACAGGAAAAATACAATTGCCTTATTACTAGAATTTAGTCTGATTCATACAAAATAATTACGCTTCAGCCTATTGAGATGCTGAATTGAGACAAAGGGAGAGCTATGATGAAATTATACTCCCTTGCTGCTGGAGGTATTTTTCCAGTTACCAGGCATGTGGATTACTTGATAATGTTGACATCATTATGCTCTTAATGACTATGTTTCTGAGCACCCAAAGGTTTTTAAATGGCATTTCAGTCCTGTGTTTCCTTTCATTTCTAAATCAATGACAACTTGTCATATTTTTAGGAGATAATTTCTGCTGTTACTCCGTGAAGATTTTTGTTCTCAGGTTTTCAGCTGCTCCTCCTGATGCTTTTGTGCACTAAAATAGTAAATGAGTGATTTAATGTCTGCTGTCACTGCTGATGCCTTGGCTGGTTTCTCTTTTGTATACTTTAAAACTTCCAGCCTTAGTTTACACTTGCTGAGTGCTGTTTCAGTCACTGATCATGATCAGCATTTGGGGTTGGATCTGACCTGCCTTGCTTGGTCTCTTCTAAATTTCACCTCACATTGAAGCTCTTCTGAAGAGTACGCAAGAAGGAAGAGGAGAGGTGGTGGAGGATGGCAGGGAATCAGTTGACCTTAGTGGCTGCTTTTCTTTTGTTGTTGCTTCATGTTAAGAGTATCTATCAGGTGGGTTCTGCAAACTACTGTATGAGGATGCCTAAAACAAAGCAGCRTAGAATATTTAAGAATATTATTTCAGTTCTGTTCCTCCCTAATCTGATTTTCGTATGATTGGTTTGCTGGCACAAGCACACCTAACAAAGTCCCAAAGAAGTTTTCAAAATAATATTCAATGTTTTTGTCAACCTTGAAGACCCACTTAGTGGTCCTGCTTGACTCGGGTAGAGGCGTCCCTGATGGAAGTGCTGTTTGAGCCACCTTTTGGGTTTAAAAAGTAAAAGCCACACTGAAATTATGCAGTTCGTTCTCTCTTAGATCATAGTTTGGGGAAAGAAGTTGCAAATTTTTAGCCTCTCCAAGTCTTCATAGGTTTTCAGACTTTATATTAAAACAGCTTGTATTACAAGTTCTTTATAGTCCTTGCAGTAAGGGCTTTCAAAATAGCACAGGAGATGGTATTCTTTTAAAGCTTGTCTCTTCTTCCTCYGTCTAATGATCCAAAAGAAGCCTGTACCTGGTTAATTCCTGGTAGCTGTCATTTTGTCACTGTCATCACCATTTTAGAAGCCACCATAAACGGGGCTTTGACTTGGTGCTCGAAATTATGCTGTGAACTCAACCCTTACCTTAGCACATGGATTGCTCCTGTCCAAAGGGAGCAGCAAGCTCCCTGTTCTGCACAGCTCGGTAAGATTGAAGAGCATTTCTCTGTAGCTGCCCTTGTGCTTGAAGACTTCATATCATGAGGCCAAAAAAYCCTTTCATGCGTGTGGGAAAGGTCTATTCTTCTGTGCCTGGTTTGTAGCATTTCCCTGGAATTACAGTTTTGTTGACACAGATTTTTTTTTGACTTTTATCTTAGAAGGGAGATTGTATGTACAGGGCTTAGTGAAGAACCTGCTTTAAATGTGAGCAATAGAGGAGAGCTGATCAGTGTTCAGCCTTTGCAAAGTCAAGCCCTTTAGTTTATGTATGTTTTTGTACGTGACTATTCCTGTGTTTAAATGCATACGTGTCTATTAGGTTTTYGTTTCTAATGATCTTTGCCATAGTATACAGTCTCTGAAGTTAGGGCCCCAGAAAGGTCACCTCTTGCAAAAGCATCTCAGAATAGGCAGCACTACCTTAAAAGTGCTGGGCAATTCTTCTGTAGAAATAAGGCAAGTTCCTAGGCTTTGTTTGCCTACATAAAGTCTGCTAAAATTTACTTTTTGTTTTGAAACTGTAAAAAAAATCCTTGGTTTTATGCCACAAGGAGCTGATGCACTAGTTCTAACTTTGTGCTAAAAATAACTCTGAGTTCCAGATCTATACTTTAGGTTTATTCATCTATTTTGCACTTCAAAAGCAAGGACAACACGCAGACCTATTTTGCAGGAGTAGGAGATACAGGTCATTTCCTACTAACAACTTTGGAATCCTACTTTAGTTCAGCAATGTGAAGCTTACAAATAAAAAAAAAAGTATTTTTTCTATTACAGCTCTTCCTCTTTATTTTGTGTATAAGAGAATTAATCTGAAATCAGATATTTGTCTTGGGATGTTTTCAACTCCATGTGACTTGGATCTTTGTGCTACTTACAGTTCTGTTCAAGCCCTTTTTAGGATGTACATCTTAAATTTTGGCTGTCATTCATATAAGTTGCTATTCATTGAATTTTCATCCAAAGACTTTCTATTAATTGTGCAGATCAAACTTATTAAAAAAGTCTGCCTATAAAATAAAGGAGAGCAGAACTAATAGGAAACTAGGAAATACCTTTCTACAGAGTAGCTGAACCGTGGCTCTCCTGTTGCTTTTATAAGCCAAAAGCTGGTCTTTTGTACTCAAGTCCCAAGACCTCAGATTTGATCCAAGTCTTTCATAAATTTCTGTACTGAAATGACTGTGAGAAGAGAGTTTTGGGATGTTTTCTGACCATTTCTTTTCCATCTGTGGTTAATTAAAATAGTATGAGTAATTAGTGGTTATTTCTCTAAAGAAAATGCATTTAACCTTCAGATCAATGATAGGAATATGCTGTCAATAATAAATTTAAACTTTATTTGCTTATGATCAGTGATCTCTAGTATATTTTATTAGTATCTGTTTAGCTTTTCACTTGTGACTAGTTAGATAATATCCTCTTTGATTGGAAAAAAGGTCCCGAGAAGCACAGAGAAGTGACTTGCTATAGGTAGGACAGCATGGCATTGGCAGGAGCCAGGAATAGAATTGAAACCTCTCGTTTGAATGACTTCCAATGACGGAAATAGATGCACCCTCTGGGCAAAATAAAAATGCATGAAAATATTGCATGTTTCCTGCAAATGTGTCATTTCAGTATGTCCGATAAAAATATCTGTGGGAATTAAAAGAGAAATCGCAGAAGATAATGTATGCAGGACTGGTTTGTGTAAGACCTTGTAAATATGTTTAGTGTTATCCATAATTTTAACTGGAAATTAAATACTTCTCCACTTTTTCTTATATTTCTTTGGGTCTTTTCACCTACAGAAGTTTTAAAAGATAACACACATGATCCTATGTCATACTGTGAAACACGTTTGTTACGACCGTTTCTGCTGTATCTTGCATTTTATTTCTGCGCTTAAATGTAGCTATAAGTGTTTTTTGTTTTGTTGGCTTGCTTTTGTGTGTTTTGTGTGGTTTTGTGTGTGTGCACTCTTTTTTGTTATTTTGTTTTGTTTTTACACGGGAGACAAATTATGTCACCATACCAGATGCTGCCCTAGCAGAACATTTAAGTGACAAGTTTCATCAGTGCTGGAGCAGAGCTTCAAAACTCCCAACTGGTAGGAAGCAGAAGAGATCTCCAAATTGAGGACACCTGTTTCTCCCTCAACAAAAATCATACTTTTGAGAGAAGGCAAGTGGGTTTTGACTCTCTGAGCAGCTGGAGCTGAAGAACATGATTATGTGGGTTGGCAACAAATCTGCCTTGGAAGAGAAGGACCAGAGTGCCACAGAAAGACAGAGTGCTGAAGAGATCTTCATCCCAAACTCCTCCTCCTCAGAGTAAGGGGGACACAGATGGACAGATTGTCGTGGAGGCAGCCSTCATTCTCCCTAGCTGTATATTTTGTGCAGTCTAAAGCAGCAATTCTTTTTTCTTTTTTTTTCTTTTTTTCTCAATTCTCCAAAATCTTAATAGGCTTCGGTCAAGTGCAAGTTATTTTTGCAGAGGTAAATGTGCCTTTGAGAGTGAAGCTCTAGGGAACCCTGTGTTTACTTTTGCTGTGGGGAGTCTGGAAAAGATTACTTGGAGAATCTTGCTTCCATAATAGTTTTGTCAGAGAACAAAAAGCCCGAAGGAGAGTGAAATACCCTGCTCAGACCAACCTAGGCTGTAATCACTGGGCAGCTTTGAGAGTACATAGAGGTTGTTTGGGAGAGTGAAAGGTAAAATGGCCAAAATTGGAGCAAATGTTCATGTCTTGAATTGGTGTGAAATTGGTGTGAATTGGTGAAATGTGTCTGCACAGTGTCAGCAACACAAATACATCTGCTTAACTGTTAAACTTTATTTGTAAGGTAGCAGGAAATAGGTAAATTATTTTTCAAATCATAGATTAATTAAAACTAAACTAATAGATCATATAAGTGGTAAGAGATGCAATTAATTTTTCTTACAAATGTATGATGCTGAAAAGCTAGGTGAAGAATTTCTTTTTAAATGTCATATAATCTTCTTTAATAACTATAAGGAGATGCTGCTTTTCAAGTCAGAAGTGTCATGGTTTCAATCTTCCTCTTGGAAAAAATAACTGTGCAGTAATTGAGCTTCCAATGGGTTTTTATAATCAACCTGGAGAGGAAGTTGGGCCCAGGTATGACGTTATGGGAGGAACTTGGAAGTTTCCCACAGGGTCTTTTCACTGCGAAAACTTAGTGGCAGCCTCTGTCTGGTAATACAAGTACAGGAGCTTTTCTGTCTCTCCAACTCATGCATGGGAAGCAGTAACATTCTTGTTAACAAGCCACGTTTGTATTATGGAAGGTAAATAACGTTTGAAAAATTTATTAGATGTATGTTTTATCCAAATCTTGTCTGAATTTCTCCATGAAAAACCAAGACTTTTTTGACTATTGTATACCTATATTTCTGTGATGGATAATATGGTATATGTGAGATGCCATTCTTATGTATGTATATATGAAACGCATGAACCAAGCTGCTTAAAATGCTTGTGTTATTCAAATGTGTTTGAATGGTAATAGAATCCCAAGGATTGCRTTTGTCTTTCAGGGTGTTTTTGAGAGCCATCAACAAATTTGCAGAGACAATGAACCAGAAGTTTCTGGAGAATATGAATTTTGAAGTCCAAGTAAGTATTGAGGCTTTTTTGTTGAGCAGAGTTAGCGTATGCCTGTGATGGGAGTGTTGCAAGGTCAGGTCATTTCCGGCATGAAGTGAAACCACGTGCTGCCTGGTTGTGGTTTGTGCTGAAGATAGAGAGCGCTTTTAACAGTGTGTAGTATGAAGAGTGGTTCCATTTCATTCTGTGTTAATTATAGTTCAGAGTAATTCCCTGGTAAGTTTAAAAATGCTCTCTGATTGCAAAGATCTAATTGAAGTAGCTAATAACATAATGATGCTAAATACAAATTTCTGGAGGCGTTTCAGGCCCGTGCTGCCTTGGTTTCTTGCGAGGTATGTTTTAAGGTTAGTCTTATGTTTTACAAGATTAATCTTCCATCTGGTTTTACATGATTGTATTCCATAGCACGTGAATATTTGCTCAGGCTTGCTGTGCTGAGAACTGTTTGGGTGTTACTGGCATTCGGACCTCAATCACAGATCGCTAGAGAGCAGTGTAGTGTGTTACATGGCCAGGAATTAAAAAATAATAGTTGGAAAAGTTAGTTACAATGCTCTGTGGGAGTTTAATGGAGTGCTTTTAAATTCTGTGATTTAAACATACTTTGTATGCTTAAGAAGTGCCACTTTCCAGAAGCAGACAGGGCAGCCTGTCCTGGGCTCGGGCCATGAGTGTGTTTTGGTCAGGTCCCACTGCCACCACAGCAGGCAGGGAGCCCCCATACCCACCAGTAGGTCTCGTGGAGCCCATGGGGCACGTGGTGAGTAGGTTGATCTAGGATATGCTGTCAAAAACCCAGATAGAAGTGGTTGGGCACTCTGGAGGGCACGTTAGCCCCAACTGTGCTGCGCTTTTTCTCAGAGGACAGAAAAAAAGGCTGATTTCTAAACATGTTTTCTCTGTTCCTGAAGCTGACAGATGTTCTAAATGGCTTTTTTGAGATGTTTTATAAATAATGTCCAGCTGTTTCACTTCGTATGAATAAGTAATAGGGTTTGTGCATCTGCACTTATATTTGAAAGATGCAGTGTGTTTGTGTTGCATAAGTGACTACTACTGATTTAAAAACTGAAGCGGATCATGGTGTCTGGGCTTCTGTGGAATAAATGGCTTCTCATTCAAAAAAAAAAAAATCCCAGAGAAACTTTATGGAGGAAGTTGTATGATTATACGTCAATGTGTGTTTGTGCATGCATATATATACATATATATATATATAAAAAAAGAAATGTACACATGTATGTTATACGTTAACGTGCATTATTCAGTACTGTTATTGAACGGGAGGATTAAGTTTCATTAGGCAGAAACCTGGATTTTTTATAGGATTCACAGGAGTAGGTAAAAACCTTCAATATTTATCAGTTTAAATCCACTTCCATCCTGTGTATTTGCCTGTGTCAAAGGCCACGATTTAGGTAAGTCACCAAGGTCGCTGTGCATTGAAATGGGTCGTCTAGAAAGGCTCTAAAGAGCTGGTTCAACAGACGTCAGGCAGAGGTGGCTGAGCTGGGGACATGGAGCAGCAGCAGGAACCTCCTCGGGTTTCCATCCAGGGACATGTTCTGTGTTTGCCCTGATAACGAGCTCATTGAAGATTAAATCCTGCCTTTGAAAGACTGCAACTTTGCAAGGATACCAACTGAAGGAATTTTATGCAGAATGGAGAGATACATTGAAGTTATATAAAGAAAATGCATAAAATGATATAGAAAGGCAGGCCTAAGGTTAGACTTTTTTCTTGTCTTGTTACATTAGCTGTTGATACTATGTATTTTCTTAAATACGGTCATGACAACACACATGCCTTAAACACATGAATAAGTGGTTTTAAATCTTTAAAATATATAGATTTTGTGACATCAAATATGAAAAAAAGATACTAAAGATACTGAATTTTTGGGGGGACTGTCAAATCATCCATGAGATAAAATATTAAAAAAAAAAAAGAAAAGAAAAAGATTTTTAGCAGATGTTTTCCTTTGCAAAGAACAGATACAATCAGGAGAGCAGAGCACAAAAGATTCACTTGAGTGTTTTTAGGCGACTGGCAAGTGGTTTGGCTGTGCAGACCTGCCTTGTGTTTCGTGTATCTGCTCGGGCTCTGCCCCTGATAAGGGAGCTCTGTGGGTGAGGCAGACTTGATCCTGCAGCAGGGATTGTGTCACATCGGCCGAATGATYGCTTAAATTAGAGTTAGCCTCTTATTTGTCCTTTAGCTTATTGCTTTAAAATATGTATTTGCATGGGCTAGAGGATTGTGTGGTCAGTGCAAATACTCATTTTAGACTGTGTATTAGGTAACGTACTGTGCGAGCTAATATTATTCAATTCAAAGACACTGGTTGTGGATTTGTTTGAAATTATATTACAAGCGAGATAGGTTTGTTATATAAAACGAATGAAAGGATACAAAACCAGATTGCAAATCATATATTACTATCCTGAGTACAGTGTTCTGTTCATTTTTTCCAGTTGATCTTTCAGAAAAATGAAAGCAGCAATCTTTAATTCTTATGCTTCATCTTATGACTTTAGTTGCATTTGCCTATGTGCATAACAGGTCTTAATAGACCTGTTGTTGTTCAAACCTTTTATAAACAAAGCAACCTTTTTCTGATGGTAGCCGCTGTCCTTGGGTAGGAGTTACCTTGGGCGAGGAGAGCAGAGCACTCCCGGGCTCCGCTGTGATTCCAGTGTCAACTCAGGGCTCCATCACCTGCTTTAGGAGGGTGGCAGGTAACCAAATACAGCAGCACCCTAATATAGACAGCAACCATTGCCACCCTCAATGCCACTTAATTCCTTGAAATGACTATTTTTGTGCTACTTTTCTTCAGTAATTKTTCTGAAGGGGGGTGACAGCTTTGCACATACTGGGGACAGGCAGAATTGAGGTAACAGAATCTGTTTTRTTGTCGTCCTCTCGGGCACTGATATCAAAGAGTTTCTGTTGTGCAGAACATAGTGCTGTTGATTACTGGTCCCTGCTTCCCTTAAGCTTCATTAGCAGTATTTTTACAGGATTTTAGAAAGGATTATACTTCTAAATCTGTACTCTTACAGCACTTATGATTTCTTGTTCATCAGGTAGAGCCCTGCCATAGACTTTGATTACAGAAGACATTGTCTCCATTCCATATAATGCCAATGCCTCATTTGAAAGAATATGCTTATTTGCCTTCTTTTTACCCATCTTTCTTGCGTTTGCTGGGCACCATAGTTAATAGGTTGACATGACTGAAACTTGACTTTTAGCATCACTGTCACCATTGCACAACGTAGATCTTTGGCATTTCTAACTAAAGATTTAAAATGTTTTAATTTTGCTTCTCTGCATTACAAATATACAGGGGAAAATACTCCTTTCTGTATATGAGTGTTTATATGGTAGTCATGGACATTCAAAATATCCCGAAGAGATGGCTCATGTAGAAGCCTGTATGATGTAATGCGTGTCCCATTCTAGCAAACATCCATTAGAGAAATTAGCTAACTAGATCAGTTATACTAGCTCTTTTAGCAATTTTATGTTTTATTTATATACTGTACATCATATTGTACATTTGAAAATTGTCAAGCATCAGCGTTTCAGTTCCTCTTTGATGCTTGCACCAGTGTGTTGCTGGGTCTTCCTCTGGCATTGGACTCATTGTTTGGGATGAAAGGGAGTTCATGGAATATGTATTCTGGAAGATTTGGCATATAGCCTTTTAAGGCACGTTGTTTTGCTAACGCTTGCTTTCCATAGAGATTAAGGAAAATACTTTAAAAAGGCAAACAAATCAATATGCTGATTCTTTCATCATCTTTATGCAGTGCATCTGATCACAAATCAGACATCTGTATATATCTTGACAGAAGCATCTGAGAAGCGATGCTTGAATCCTAATATTTGTGATCAATTCAGAGCTATTTTGAGCTATTTTAAAAACAAGTTAGTATTCACTTGCTCAAGTTGTGTATATTTAAGTGACTACCTCAAAACAGGTATTTGTTGTAAGTTATATCATTTTAATTGGTGGAAAAAATATATTTCAGTATATGAGAGAAAACATGACTGAGATAAAATTATCACATGCTAAAATATCGTGTGCCTGACTCAACACCTTAGCAGCTCAGGGTTCTTGGCATTTAACACCTATGTGGAGAATAAGTACCATKTTTCTACAAAGTCAAAGCAATGAACCCAGTGTCTTTTTGAAATCCGYCTGCTGGTCTCAAGGATCTGAGCTCGTGTTTCCCGTAGTATTTCCAAGTAAAGTTATAAAAATACTATCTAATCTTTTAAATACTGTGAAATGTTTGAATATTTTTAATAGCATAACTTTTTATCAAATATTCAAAAATATCAGTCTAAATATCCTTTTACTTAGCTAAGTCATTTGAATGGAGCCATTGTTTTAAATGTTCCTTTCATTTAAGTCTTCCAAAGAAAATCTCCTGCCCTTTTTTTACATTCAGTTGAAAGAGCTGAACAAAAACACCCGCAGAGGACAGACATGATGGGTCCAAGGTAGGCGTGGGAAATGGTGCGGAGGAGCCCCTGGCTTTGCAGGTTCTATGGGGAGGGAAGCAGCGTGATGCTCTGCTGGAGTCTGCACATTTGGTAGCTCTCCCAGTGATCTTCCAGACCCCTCTTCCTTATGGCATGACAAGTTCCTTGTTATATATTATTTATAAACTTTCCCATATGTTAGCTGTCGTGTGTTCTCATGGGAAGGGACCTTGAGTGTTCTCAAAAAAAAAAAAAAAAAAAAAAAAGAATCAGAAATCCACCTGCTTCGTGTTCACTTAGCTCTTATACACAGAGGGATGTTGTCAGTTGAGGTCAGTCTGTGAACCTGGCATTCCAGGCAGGAATGGTTGGAGAGGTTTTCCATGTTCCTGGTGTAATTGGCCTCTGCAGAGGGTATTTCACATGTGCTGACAAATAGAGAGCTTTTCAAGTCAAACCCCTCTATTTTGATGAGAGGAAAAACAGGCCCTTTGGAGCATGATTAGCATTTCTTGTGGGGGAAACATTCCCTGAGCTGGTGTGTGCTAATTGAAGCTGTAAAAAAAAAATTAGATATGAACATCATCGTTCTGATGTTCATTAGGAAAAAAAGGCTGTTGCCTTAGTGTTAATATCCAAATRGAGTTTCTAGTAAAGCTGGGAATGGCTTGGATGAATTCAGACCATCTTTGGCTGGTGTAAAACGTATCSGATTATTGGAGTGCGGTGCTGCTGGGCCCTGGGTGAACCTGCCCCAAGGAGAGCTGTGCTCTCTGGGTGCCTACAGACCGAAACAGGCTCCAAAGGGCCTCTGAGCACCCACAGTCTGCTGGGGAGAGCTTCAGTAAAGGCTTGGGCTCCATACAGCAGGAGTAAATGAAACACCGGAGCRTTCTGACACAAAAGAGGGTGCTAGAGAGTTTCCCTTACTGTAGGAAGTGCCTTTATCCTTCGTGTTGTGTTTTTGGGGTGTTGCTGTCTGTTCTTTGTGGTTATTTCTGCRCAAGAGTTTTCCAGATTGCAGTGGACGGAGGTCACTCACGTAGAGGTCTTGACATGCAACTTGAAGCTTTTGTAAATATTTTCTTGAGCTGTTACTGAATAATCGTCCATTAASCAAATGTGACARTTTGGGACTCCATGAATTTTAGTGCCGTTCCTTTTTTCTTTCCCATGTCTAGCACATGAGAGAGGGATTTAGTTTGGGTTATCTGGAGGACGAATTACTGTGTCCAGAAATGAAGGTTTATGCGCTGTGAATGCGAGGGTGCTGCTCTGCTCCAGTAGGTGACTCAGCGCTCCTTGCTCAAGGCCCTGTTTTGTCCTTGTTTCCTGTGGAGAGCTCTTGCTGCAGTGGGTTGGGATGTCACCCAAGCCTGCTCTTAATTCAGAATCCAAAGAGAAGATGGCAGATGCCTTTTGAAGAAGCCCTTAGATACAGTGYAGTTGCACTGGATGCCTCCAGTGCCACACTGTTAAGATTCACTGACGTGTTCTGCCTTGCACTGGTCCTGCTATGGTTTGTGGCTTAATGGTGTTTGCTAATGAATTTTATATACATCTTTTTTAGCAATGTTTATTCAGATGCTGTGGTATTCAGAGCAAATGCTTACTAGTGGTTATTAAAATTCATCTCTCTTGCTTTCCTGCTAATTGCATAATAATAATGATATATATATTTTTGCCTAATGGTAAGAATCTCATCTGGCTTGCATCATTTGGTTTCATAAATTATTCACCGTTATACATGGTTTAATATCTCTCCTCCTTTGCTCAAAATCATTATAACTTCCTTATATTCAATTTACAGCTGTGGAACAACTATTTTCATTTGGCTGTGGCTTTTATTACTCAAGATTCACTCCAGCTAGAAAATTTTTCCCATGCAAAATACAACAAAATCCAAAATAAGTAAGTGAAAAAATATACTTACATTTTATCTTTTATATCTTTTACCTTTGTAAGAAATTGATGACATCRATTCTGATGTCATCCTTTCCTTTTTCTTTCTGTCTAGATATGGTGATATGAGACGTTTAATTGGCTTTGCTATCCGTGACATGTGGTACAAACTCGGTGAGTAAACACACGAATTGAATTGCAATCAAGTCCATAGCAGATGTAATGTTTCACTGGAAATAAATCTGATGTGACTTGCTCTGTAAAGTATTTGACTTTAAAATACGTTTTTCCTGTTGCTGCTTAGCTCACAGCCAATATGAAACATTTTGGCTAATGCCTKTTTTTTTTCCTGAGAGAACTCACAAGATTTTCCCAGACCTCAGACAAAGATGACCGAACTCCAGGGATTTCAGCATCATCTTGCTGAGACTTGAGAACCAGATAAATCTTCCCTGAGAAGCATCCATCTGTTTCCACAGTTCTAGGAAATAGTAGACTCAAGAGTTGAATTCTCTTTGCATTTAAACCTTGAATGGGACCATTAATGGTTCCACAGTTCATAAGCAGACTTGTTTTTCAGTTGCTTCTTTGGGAGTTTGGAATAGATGGAACAGTAATGTATCCTATGAACAACATACTTTTTTCCTGAAATGTGAGATATGAATTTTGAAATGTGATAATTGTGATGATAATAATGACTATTCTTTGAAATACAAGCTTAATGTCAAATTGCATTCAGCTAATTACAAAAAAAAAAAAAAAATTAATCAGAAAATTAACACAGAAAAGACATGAGCTTTTGGTTTCTTTCTAACTGCTTCTCAGGTCTCTTGAGCCAAAGCAGTTCTGGTCTGGCCCCTGGGTGTCAGTTCAACGGTCCTAATGGCTATGGCTATGTTGTTAGCACACTCAAAATTTTAACATACTTCAATTGAATTGCGTTCTTTTCTTGTCAAATCAGTGCTTCTGTAAATAGTTAACAAAAAGCTATTCCAATAGATATGATATTTTGTTTAATTAACATAAAAAAGACTAGGATTTTAAAGTATATTTTACCAACGGTCATAATCAGAAGTTCATTGAAAAGTATGAAAAGTATAAATGAAAAGTAAAAAAATTACCTCTAATTTTAAAACATTTCGTCAGCTTTGTTGAAGACCAAAGCATTGCTTGTTTTTCAATACCATAAATGCATTATTAGTTTATGCAAATGATTTGATCTACATGCCCTCTAATAAATAAGAGGCCTGCAGTTTGAGAGATATTTCAAACTAAATGTGCCATAGTTCTGTTTATAATAACAAATACACTTTCCATCTATTTTCTGTAATTTTCAGGCTCCTACTACATTTTTAACAGAAGGGAGTCTGTATGCAGAAAAGCAGTGCGGTGTCTCAGATTTAAATCACATTTAGGGGTTATGTATTAAAGCAAGATTCATGCAGGCAAATGCCAAGTCACATTATATMTGAATTCCTGTAGTCTCCAGAAGTTGCACAGACCTATTAGGTAGGATTTGTAAGTGATTCAGTCATGACAAGGTTCTTCACAGTCTTTTGAAGACAACTTTTGAAATAATAATTCAGTTATGCTTAGGGTTACGTCAGTGTGGAAGTCGTAAGAATTTTTTACTCCTAAAGTCTAGAAAGGGAAACATATCATATAGTTCTCCTCTACTGCTAGAATTGGGTATTAATATTAGTTATTAATACAATAAAAATATTTTTTGATTATTTTCCACTTGTTAACGCTTGTAAGGAAGTACCAAAAGCTTAAAAAAAAAAAAAAATCTGGTACCGAATTCCAACTTCTTGGAATGAGAGAATATACCTTAATGCGCTGTCTGCTTTTGAGGAGTGGAGATAAGTGACCAACTCTAACACTGTTCCTGACATAGAGGGTTACAATACTGTTTCAAATGGTTTTATCGCCTAAGTCACTTCCTAACAGTTTTAATTTTTATTTTATTGCTTATTCAAATTTACCATTCTGTTTTAGGAAATAATAAGATCTGTTTTATTCCGGGAATGGTCGGGCCCATCTTGGAAATGACTCTTATTCCGGAAGGTGAACTACGAAAAGCCACAATCCCCATCTTCTTTGACATGATGCTATGTGAATATCAAAGGACAGGAGAATTCAAAAAGGTAATAATAAGAAAGTTGTGTAGAAACTGTTTAATGATAGCATTGTGGAAAACATGCCCAGCAGAAAACCTCATACTCTGTGTGAAATCTCATTAATATGTCATGTAATGAGTTTATTTTTGGTAAATATATGTAGAAGGGGTTTTCTGCTTACAGAAGCTAAAATGCAAAATATTAAGAATAAAAGGAAGAACATTCAAAAAGTATATTGGAGAACAGGTTTTGTTGGTGTCAGCAATGATTACGCCTTCTTTTTTTCCCCCACTCGGAAATCTTTTTACTCTCAAGAAAGAAATACCTGACTATTGTAATTTATTATAAGCGTGAAACTCCTGAGTGGCAAATGAGTGCATTTCATGGGACAGGGCACTTGGAAATATAACGTCAATCTCCTGACCCTGCTACAGAGCGTCCGTGGACATTGAGCCCTGTCATTCTGTCCCGAGCCCTTCAGTTCTCTGCAGGCTCTGTGGGGCGGCCGCTCCCCTTGCTGGGTCCTTGCAGTGGAGGTGTCAGCACCGGSTTTGCCCCAGGAATTCATTCAGGGCAGTCTGTGCAGCAGTAAGTGACAAACTTAAGCCATAATTTTAGAGATTCATAGGAAAGTATAAATATGCCGCTCTTTAATACCCAGCTATGTTTAATGCTTTAAGTCATATGTGGCATTTTTGGGTCAGCTAAGCATGGAGCAAACCAGCAGATGGAATTTCCATTTTGGTCTGTATTTTAGCACAAAGCTTTTGGTTTAAGGCCAAGATTAAAACACATTTGCTTTTGTGCATCTGTTCCCTCCATGTCCTAATAGCCCTATGTTTGCCGCCTTAAAAATATTTTCCTGCTCTTGGCATATCCTCTCTCTCCTGGGAGAGCWGCACAGATCTGTACGGATGAAGAACCCGGGAACCACATCCAACTGCCTGATTAACAAGGGCACCGGCTCCGGAGCGCAGGAGATGCTGGATACTCAGCTGACCCTTAAATCACTTCTTACATAAATAGGCCTCAGGTGGCATTTTTTAATTGCCCAAGGGTGAGAACATTGCCTTTATTGCAGTTTAAGAATAATAGATAATGATTTTGATCAGATTGCACTAATTTAGTGAGTTAGCAGGCATGTGTTAGGGATCTGAGTGTTTACTTCAGAAAAACTAAAATGACTTACTGTTCTAGATTGGTTTTCTGTCTATATTCCTATGGGTGTGATAATTAAGGTAAATTTCTCAAAATTGCTTTTGTAAGTTTGGCAATTCAGGTAATTTTTAAAGATATACTTTTGAAGGAAAGGTGCATAGTGTTTTATTATTTAAAATTCTTACTATTTCATGTAGAAAAGGCAAAGAATATGAATCGAACAAGATTTGCTACACAGATGTAAACACTAGTTTTTAACAGTGGAAAATTTGGAAATAAAGTTGGCATTTTATATTTTATTAAAGCTTTAGTATATAACTTTAGTAATATTGRAGTTTCATTTCAAGGCTGCCTTTGCCACTCGAGCCTAGATATTACTGGCATTCAGTTAAAGCAGAATTTATTAATTCTTTTTCTCTATGGCTGTGTGCGTTGGGCCCCTGCTTGCTCAGGGCTCTRCCTTGCTCTGTCCCCTGCAGAGTTTGTGCTTCTGCTCACATGACTCCTGTGGAAACGCATACACCAAGAGAGGCACGTCTATAAAGGTCATTTAAATTTTTCAAACAGGCAAATTATTTAGCTATTTCTAGGAAATTATAACTAATCCTAGAGAAAACATATTCCACCTGTAGTCATCATAAGAATGGCTTATTACTTACAGACCTATTTCATATAAAGGAGGTCTATGATGTCCACATTTTCTTTGTGGCTCTTCATTTTTCCTTTGCACAGGTAACTTCCATGCCAGAAGAAATTTTGTGAAAACTTGTAATTTTAAGTCTAACTCAATGTAGGGAGGAAGGCTCTATTACCTTCTAATTTTAACCGTCAAGGCTCTGTCTATTATTAGCTCTGAGAGCTAACAACGTCAGAAAGGCAAGTTGTTGTGATTGTGTTAGATGTAAGTGGATACAATTAACTTATTGCTACACATAATCCCACTTCTCCAGCAGATAGGAAGGGAAGCAAGTTGCCACTGGCAGATACCCCATGTTAAGAGAATCTCATTCTTCAAATATTAAGTCATCTTTTCTCATAGGATTAAACTTTATATTTTATCACKACTTCCCAAAGCAGGGCCATATCATCGAGCAAACTAGTAGCATTTGCTGTAACTGATAATGTGACATGAAAAGATTTTTTCTTTTTTTTTTTTCAAAAAAAACCCTTGCTTTAAAAAACATATTTTAGAAAGCAGAACCAACAGATTAGCTCTTCACAGAGTAAAAGAAAATATCATTGAAGTAAACATGGATGTGAGTCATGTTAAAGATTTAACTTTGCCTTAGGAAAGCTTAATTCATCTGTATTCATACTGCTTTTTCCACATAAAACTTTCTGTTCTCATTTGGAATATTCCCTTGAATATCTTCCATCCGTTGCTCTCTCTAATATCCTCCATCCGTGGAAATACTCCACACGTACTTGCCTTGCTGCGCGGTGTTGAAATGAGCAGGTGGCTGGGACTGTTGTTGCGTGTCCCACTAAAGGGAGGATGTTTCTTCCTTGTGAAGCTGCTCGTCACTGTAGTAGTGACTGTGAGGGTTCTCCTTGCTCTAAACACCATATTCATACTCACATATTTCATATTTCTGCAATTTTATTATACTGAAGGATTTTAGAAACACGTGAAATCATCTCATTAGCAAAACCAAAGTTTTCAATAGCTTGATGCTTTMGACAAATCCATGTAGGAAAAACAGATGATATGTGGTGGGTGAAGTGTATTCAAGGGTGTGGAGGCCTTTGCAGTCTTTTCATGAGCTAAGCAGGCAGTTTTTTAGCCAAGCTCTGCCAGGTACAGTTAGACGCACTCTATTGAAGTTCGTGGAGTTGGTATCCTTACCAGGGCTGAATTTTAGCACAGAGACACAAAAACTTTTTTGTGCCTTCCTGCCAGCTCTTATTTATTTGGTTCAAGCAACCAGCTCTTTTGCAGCTTGTTGTGAGTCTGCAGGAAAGATGCTTAGAAAGAGGTTTTTGGTCAGATCCAGCATCTGGGAAATTATTGCCTCTTAGAGAAGTAATCGATCCCCTCCCCACTGAATAAGTACTGCAGAAGGATTTAAGAGCAGGGTGATTTTGAACCGACTGTGCTGCATTCGCAGGTTTCTGTCTGCAAACTGATTGCATTGGGTGCTTTTGTTTAATGCTGCCTTATCCTGAAACCACGGGCTGCTTATCTTAGACCCACTAAATAGAGATGAATTCTGAGCCCTCTAAACTGCTTTTCAGCCTGGACCAGAAAGGGTAATTTTTTTCCTGTGCTGTTTTGCAGCACCCCTCTGCATTTCAGTGAAAGCACCTTATTCACTGGTACTGGTGCAGTATGTTCTGCTCCACTGGCAGTCTGCAGTTCTGGCCTCTAATTAGAGTTGAGAGGTTGCTAGTGAAGCAAACCCAACAAGTAACAGAGAGGGCCAAGATGCCTTTGTGAAGTACTCCTGACAAGCCCAAAGTGTTGGTGGGCTCTTCAGAAGAAATAAGGTTCCCTCTTGTTTGGTTTCTCTTTCTGGGAGAAAGCAGAGCACACTTGGGGCTTCTTCCCACCAAGAGCCGTTCGCAGCATCCCRGAGGCCCTGCACACCTGGGGCTGGATGGGCTGCATCTGCCTGTTGCGTTGGATGCCGATAGAGGAAGGCTGAGCAGTTCCCGCACGAAGAGCCTCCCTCTGGAGGCACGCACGTCGGATTTTTAACCTCAAACTCTGAGTTTGAATGCGGATGTTGGAAAGCTCTGCCCCAGGGCCACATCCATGGYTCCGGGGAGGCTCGCTGTCTCTCGGGTGCCTTGCGATGCGCGCGGGCTTCGCTCGTGCTGCCCTTGACTGCGCCGCGCGGCCGCCCCGGCACGAGCGAGCTCCTTTGCAGCGGCAATGCCCGCCTCGCCTTGACTCGCACACGCAGCCAACGCGAGCACTTTGCCTTGCTGCTGCCTTCCCATTCAGTGTTTAAGGGAATATGAAGCGTGCAGTGCTTAGACAGAAAAAATAGGAACAGAAAATCAATGCATGTTTGCTCCATCTGAGTAATTTATACTTAGGCTATCCAAAGACTTCAGTAGGGGGAAGGATTAGGAGCTATGCATAAAGCAGACAATCGCAGCGATATTAGCAGCAACTAAATATGTGTTGACATTATGAACTTCTAAATTTCTGATGGTGCCAATTCTTTACAAATGGCTGTTGTGGCTGATGATATCTGAGCACGATACATGTAGCTGGGCAAGAAGCAGAATGGGATGTGCAGCYTCCCCGCAGTGCCCAGTCTAGACCTCAAGTCCAAGTCCTGTTAAGTTGGTTGCTGCACAGCAGAGCATAAAAGATCTAATTGAAATGACATCTAATTGAAAAAAAAATGGTAAGAAATGTAAACTGAAGAATGCTCATGGGGATGTATTAGTGCTAGAGCCTCTGGTAGACACTCTGTATAATGTTAGAATGCTTTATAAACTGTAAGATTTTAATCTAAGAAACTAAAAAGATATCCCAAAGAATGAAAATCAGAGGAAATGATCAGCCAAGAGGCTTGGAAACGATGAGGGGGCTCAGGGAGGGCTGCTGAGGCTGCCACGGAGGATAAAACGTGTTAGAGGGCAGTTAATAAGGGTGACTCTGCCCACCAGGGCGTTCCTTTGGATACCTGGCTTCTATTTCTGCTGTTTCCAAGCTGCAGGTACAAAAAGATGCCTCTTTATTTGACACACAATATTTGAAGCTTTGGAAAAATTATGCTAATAGCCCAGCTGCCTCTTACGATTTTTCTAACATCTTTAAACCTACAGGACTTCAACATTAAGATTTATTTTTGCTGAACTTACTGAATTAAGTTATTATTTTGCCATACAACMTTTCTGTACAACATGAAGTAGTTTTCGTTTTCCAGGCTTAATATTTGTAGTAAGTTTATTTTAAATTCAGCYCTTTGGAATGTTCTTTGTTTGTTTSTTTCTTTCTTTCTGTTTCTAAATTGTTTTAAGTTGTGTCTGAAGAACAACTTTATTCATGGCTTTAGCCCATAATTGCATGCAAAATGCCTATGTCTGTGCTAGACAATATAGACAAAGGAGGATATTTTTCTTAAAAATCTTTTCTCAGTAAATTTCCAACTGACTCAAGATTTTTTGTTTGCTTTTAGCTTTTCAGCTGGTATTTTTCATTATAAAWTTCCTTTTTTTGTGTGTTTCCACTGTTGCTATGAAGTATCATCTTTCAATGAAACTTTTGAACATACAGATCTTAGCATTTTAAGCCTCTTGGAGATGAAAGCAGTACTCATGCTATTTTATAATTTCCACTTTCTTCATTTCTTCAACTTGAATGAAGTGTGTGTAATGTTTGGTAAAGACCTTGCAAACTTATGACAGCTTCTCACTTAAACATGGCAAATTGTTTTAGCATTTTCCATATGACAAAGCAGTTTCTTCTATACAATATATTGCAAGAGATTTGAAATGACAAATTAGAATTGTACATTAATACTGCAACACAGTAACATTTAACATTGTGGTATGATCCTGCTAAGTGCTGGGTTAAAATARTCTGACGTGCTTCTGTTTCTATAAGAATTAAGGTTATATTTCTGACCTTAAACTTCTCCAGAGAATTTTGACTAGAGCTTATTGCATTTTTAAGATGTCAAACTATTGGTGTTGGTGATTTCACWTCTTAGGTCGTTGGTTTTGACTGTTTGCATAGCGTTCCTTCCTACTTAAGCTCTTAAAAACCCTATTCTAGACTCAGTAACCCTGTGTCCTCAGGTTAGCTTAGCACTTTTTATTGAGACATGATTATCAGAAGATAGTATGGATTGTGTTATTTCAACTGGGATTTGTTTTTGTTCTTTATTTGTTAGTTTGAAAATGAAATAATTTTGAAGTTGGACCATGAGGTGGAAGGAGGACGTGGAGATGAACAATATATGCAGTTGTTTGAGTCGATGTAAGTAATGCTATAGAAAAAATATAGAAGATGTTTCAGGACATCTCATTGTTTCCCCAGAGGGTGTCCTCTTGCATCAAAGCTTTAGAGAAGAACTTGGAAAAGCTTTTTCAAGCTCTTTTTAGAAGAACTGGTATAATTGGGACCTGTGCAAACAAAGSAATAAACCTTAGGTGCTGGCTGTACTTTGCTTGAATGAGAAGTTGAAGACTGGTTCTTGGCTGAGGCTCTATTCTAGGCCTATATTTGGAGGACTTTTTTTCAGTAGAAGTTAGTATGAATATGTATTTTCTGAAGAAAACCTAAGTGATTCTGAAAAGTAGAGAAAGGATTCTACAATTAATTAAAAAGAGTACTTTATAGTGAAAGTTTAAAGAATAGTGCACTTCCTTAAGGATTAATTATAAATTATTAAATATTTTTGCATATAAATTGAAAACGATTAATGAAACACTAAGAGGTCAAGAATCATGGAAAATGTATCATTGAAACTGCCCTACTTAGGCACTCAGCGCAGTATCAGTGAGCATTTTGCAATTGCTAGCTTGCCCTTTTTTCCATGGGACATGCACAGTGGTTTTTCTATGTTATGAAGAGAATATGCTCAATATGCATGTAATGACTAGTGTGTGTATGTTAAAGTAAAAATAGAATRGATTTTGTCAGACAGAGGCCCAATGCAAGATGAGAATCTAAGGGGAAAACAGCTTTTAAGCAAAGAAAGAAAATCATTCTTAATGAGATGCTAGTAACCATTTCCTATATTTAAACAGCTCAGGTTTGTTTATTTTAGTAGATAGCCCAGAGTGTAAATATTAGAGGACCTAAAATAAACCAACATATTATCCTAAGGATACAAAATGTAAGAGCCAGTTGTGGTTAGGAACCTAAAGGAACAAAGCTGAGAGGAATGTGAAACTTGTGCTCCTTGATCACTTCAGTGCTTTCTAGAAACAGCATGTGCAAATGTAAACTGAAAAACTATCACTGATGTATAAAGCTCCCTTTGTCATCTCCTTAGGAAAAGAGCTCTAACTGCATTTCCTGGCTGCACAGCAAGTTTGTCATTTGGTTTTCTTAAAGGAAAAAGGCTCTGGTGAAGTCTTTTTAGAACGTTTAACTAAAATTTTAGTTTYTCAGCTCAGTTTGCACATTCTGCTGAAAGGTAACTTCACAGAGAGAAGGAAGGAATTGCTGCATTTGCTGCTCCATGCTAGCAGAGGAAAGGAAGGTCCAGAACTTGGTGTAGTAGTGTGATGCTCAAGAGACCTGAGTTCATATTCATGCAGATTCCACAGACACAAGTGGACTCCATTTTAAAAATACACATGTGTTCTCTTGAATTTGCAGTCCTTTTCAGACAAGAAGAGTAAATATTTTACTTTCTGTTTTTTTCTCTGTCTCTTGGATGTCTTAAATTACTACTCCACAAAGGGAATTCCASTGTGCTCTGCAGTGGTAGCATTTTATGACAATACTTTGCCTGGAGGTTCAAACAGTTTGAACTGCTGGGACCTTCATTTTGACAGCACTGTAAAATAATTTTGTGGCCTGTGTTTGCAGTCTCATGGAGTGTGCCTCTCAGTATCCGGACATTTGTAACTCGGTTGAAAGTTTTGTCAACCTGGTTAAAGGGCTCTTGGCGAAGCTGCTGGATTACCGGGCTGTGATGAGTGACGAGAGCAAGGACAACCGCATGAGCTGCACCGTGAACCTCCTGGTATGTTCCCTCCCGCAACCCCCGTGGGAGACGCGTGTGAAAGAGGAGAGCAGATCTTCCTGCGAGGTGATTCACATCACTCAGGAGAGATTTAAACCCGAGACAAGGGATTGTTTTTTTTCCCTTAATTTTTACATGTCATCCTTTCCCTTATGTTGTTACGTTGCTTGGCAAAGCAGAGGTACTTCAGTGAATTCAGGTACTGCAAACAGGTGAGTAGCATCTCATCTGCTCATCCAAGCAGCAAGCCCTTGTGAAGGTAGAGTGAAGATTAAGGTGTTTGAGCATTACATTGCATGTGCAGTATGGAAAGGATGCTTAAATCTGTGTGAYAAGTGTCCACCTTAAAGATAGGCCACACATATAGCACAGCAGTGATATCAACTTCAGTCCCATCTTCTGTAGCCAGCAGCTATAGCCAGAGCATGTCATATTGTGTATTAATGCCCTTGGATAACCATATTTTACTCTTCTCCATAAGAAAGCTGTGACAAATGATTTCTTTAGCAAATTAAGATATTTACTGTGTAACTATAATAGCATTTACTATTAACTAATTAAAATATTAACTGAAAAAGCAATAGTACTAGATCTAAAGTTCAAATGTTTTATAAATAATGTTTATCTTACARTGATATTCATAATTTCACCTGTAAGTTTTTAACTGAAAAATGTGTTCAAATACAGAATAATGTTTTGTGTTCAATACAACTGAAAAGCATAAATATTTTATTTTATTTATTTTTTTATTTTTATTTTATTTTTATTTTTATTTATTTTTATTTATTTATTTATTTATTTATTTATTATTTATTTATTTTTATTTATTTTATTTATTTTTATTTTTATTTTTATTTTATTTATTTTTTTTATTTTATTATTTTTATTTATTATCAGCATAAATATTTTATTTTGTGTTTCAATAAGAGAGATTAGAAAGTAACATTTAAAAAATGTTTCTGTCCCTAGAATTTCTACAAAGACATTAACCGTGAAGGGATGTATATCAGGTATGGCAGCTGCTGGTTTGGGTCTGTTTTGAAGAAGGCAATGATACCAATGAATCCTGTTTTTATCGTGTTACCTTGATTTCTGCTGTTCCGTGGTACTTTCTCCTCTGAGACGACTATGTTTTGTTTTTAATTTGTTATTTGYTAGGCTTGAAGTTGGATGGAGATTTGTAATAGCAGAGAAACCACTTGTAGCTTGGTAGAGCTGAGTGGTCTGTGTAGCACCTTTCAGCGTGCAGCACGCTTCATAGCAGGCTATTTCTGGTAAAGCCCTTTTCTCCAAGAGCTCATACACACTGGCAGATCTCTCTTTGATGCAGCATGACTTCATATCGTCTCTGACTGTTTTTTCATGTGAACTGTAGCAAATCTTGCTGTCCAAGTTTCTGTTCCCTGCCTGTGAACATACCCTGTGCCCCAGGTCTTAGCTCACGCACACAGTATCTCTGACAGCTCCTCGGGTGAGCACTCCATAAAATCTTTGAAGTTCACTTTAGAATTTATCTAGAGCATTTCTGATGCCCAGTTTTATAGACGTGTACACCTAAACTAATTTTCGTTTTCTCCTCTATTAGGTATTTGTATAAATTGCGAGATCTTCATTTAGATTGTGAGAATTACACGGAGGCTGCATATACTCTTCTGCTCCATACGTGGCTCTTGAAGGTTAGATATTCTTAAACTGAACAGATTAACAAACCTTTTCAATGCTTAAATTTATAAATGTAGAAGTGGTTTTCTTTGAGCTCTGATAACTGTTGTTATCCATTTAGATGGTCAGTAAGTTACACTTCCATTTCAAGGGAAAAATCAACTCTAAGGATTTTTGAACAAATTTAATTTTCTCGGGGAATTTGTTTTTATGTGAAAGCATCAAACCTTGGCCTTTCACAGTGCTGTTTTGATTAAACTTCATTTTGACTTAGTACTTTACCTCTTGTCTGTACTAGGTAAAACCTGAAAAAGAAAGACCCTTGGAGCAACCAAGACTTTGGGGGAGCAGAGGTGTTTTGAACTTATTTTTCCACTGTGCTTTTATCCTCAGTGGTCAGATGAGCAGTGTGCACCCCAAGTCATGTCAACAGAGTTCCAGTGTTCGCAGACTCACCGACACTTGAAAGAGAATTTGTACGAGAAGATTATAGAATACTTCGACAAGGGCAAGGTAGGGTCATCCCTCCCGCTTCCCCCCAGCCTCCTTTTAACCATGTTACTTTGTATAGCAGCTTTTAATAAGTATTCTCCAGAGAAAACATTTRTTTGATTATTGTGTAGGAAATCCTCTTTGAAATATGGGTCAAGTAAAAACTATGTCCTGGAGGCTTATTTGCCACATACATCTGTTCTGTATAAACATGTCCTTTCTCTAAGCACATTTACAAAGGAAGAGGCTAATGCGTGTACAGGTCACGTGCATCTTGGACACTTCAGGCTGTAATAAAATAATAACAAATGCTGAATGTATTTCCTTTTTTTTTTTTTTGGAAAGGAACATCGACTATACACAAGGCAATCTAAATAATTTGGTTATTGTCCCTCCCCACCAAAACACAGGCAGTTGAAAAAAGACACATTTATTTGTTTCAGAGGTCTGAAAATTGCATCTCAAACTTAATATGTAGTAGTTTGCTGATCCATATCTAGTTTCATGTCAGCATTTTTAGAGAATATGTTATTAAAGCTGCCTGTCACTACAGTGACAATAGAGCTGAGATTTTTAGAACTAAGATGAAGTACTAGAAAGCAGGGAAATGATTATCAGTGCTGGAGAGTGATTATGACCCAGTAAGGCCTTTAACTCATTCCATGTTGTTGAGCTGTAACTGAAGGCACGGAGAGGGAAGGCTGCTGGTTACTGCTTCTCACAAAACCAAGGCATAAAGCCCCCACTGAAGCCCCCTATAACTCAGAAGGCAGGAAGTTGATAGTATTTCAGCAAAAAAATGTTGCTGTGCAGCAAAAACAATGTTACTTAGGACAACAGAGGTACTTTGTTGGCAGCTGATACAAATACAGTGTAGCACCCCTCGCCCACAGTAAGAGAATAATCAAATCATGGTGGGTTCTSCTCTGCCTGACATCCAGGTTGGGCCTGGATGTAGCAGAGGAGGTTTGCAGGCAGCTGGATGCAGTCGTCAGGTTCAGAACTACCTGGTTAGGGATATGTAGCACTGTGTCAAAACCGTCCCAATGAACGTGGCCAGCAGTGACCTAACAGCATGGGAAAATTAGTCTCAGAAAACTCTTTTATTATTTTTTGTGGATAGGGGAGAAAATGGGCAAAATCTGAGAAGTTCCTTCAGTTGTTTYTAAAACCATTTTTGTGCTGCACACATTAACTACCTTCAGCAGGAGAAAAAACTGTCCTAGTCTTTCCACAGCCGTTCTGTAGTTCTTCATAATGATTTTCAGAGGTAGCTATTATCTCATGTAGAAAGAAATAAGCTGCTACTTTAGGCAAGTGGTAATTTAAATCTAAGTGGTACGGTTTTGTAGCTGAGTACATAGGCTTCTCCTCTGCAAGACTGTGCTCCCATGCAAGACATGCATATGTACGCCTTCAAATTACTTGTAAAATGGAATATGTTTCCCAGAGCAGTGGGTGTCAGTCCCTCATGCGCTGTTCCTGCGCCKCCAGTGCGGGTTAGAGACTGTGCAGCTCGGTGATTTACTCTCGTTGTTTATTGTTTGTGAAAGCTTAGGTGATTTCTTTGGTAACCTTATTCTAAGTATAAAAGAGGTTTACTTATTCCTTCTTATAATGAACCATAAAACACTTTTATTCTGTACATTAATCTGCTTTCCAGAACTTTATGATTGCCTTGGGTCCTTCATTTTAAATGTACMCTTAATAAATGACTGCAATTTAAAGATAACATAGTCAATAAAACTGTAGTTAAATAGCGATGCCTTAAAGACTTATTTGTTGGCACTGGATTTACTTTCTGAATATGCGATTTCATTGCAGATGTGGGAAGAAGCCATATCTTTATGTAAAGAACTTGCAGAACAGTATGAAAAGGAAGTTTTTGACTATGAACTTTTAAGCCAAAACCTGGTAAGAATATATACAGATCTTCAAAAGTATTTGTCATAGAAATGAATAGTTTTGAGATGTCAAAAAGTTGATAGAGAGGTTTTGAGGCTGCTTATGAGCTTGTTGTCTGCAATTTTTAAAAATTCATTTTATAGAAGAATAAGTTGTAACTTTTGCTAAACTATCAAATTCTTTTTATGCATGATATTTGCATATAAATTAAACAATATTTAACATACACAACATGTTCTGCTGTGATGGTAACTGATTATAGCTGTAGCTTGCCAACGGATAATTGAAGCTGTTGTTATCAATTGATAGTACACAGTCGGATGCTCTTAGCACAATATATACTACTGCAGAGGCAAAAATAAATGGAAAAAATATAGAAGTAATTGTGGTTGCTTTTTCTTTCAGATTCAACAAGCCAAGTTCTATGAAAACATCATGAAAATTCTAAGGCCTAAACCAGATTATTTTGCTGTTGGGTATTATGGCCAAGGATTCCCCACATTTCTAAGGGTAACTGTTTAAATTCTACATTTTTTATTCTTTTTTCATATATCTTGTGTCACATATACTTGTGTGTATGTATAAATATGCAGTATAAATACTTGTGTCCCATACTAATGCAAGCGAGTCTAGGGAAAATTACCCTTGATTTACTCCTGCCTTAGTACAGGATTGTACTCATGATTTGAATAGTTACTTCTGAGAATAGGTATAACACATTTTCAGGTGGGTTTAAGTTTTTGATGTTGATTGTGGAAATTAGCGCTGATGTCATTCATTAAAGATGCTTCATGACAGCAACATGGTCTACCCTAAGGTAAGTATTTCACAGATGTGTCCCTAGGAAGAGTGTTAATAACCCGATGCCGCTAACTAAATGGACCTCAAATTTAATCTGCAAATCTGCCTCACTTAAGAGCTTGACATTTTTGGTGTACTCACCATAAACTGACAAGAGCTTCCAGTTCTGTTGCGTCTCAGCTACAATACACTGAGAACACACAAGCAGTGCCCTTGGTTTGGTTGAATGAATATCCCAGCAGTGTGTATTCTGCTGTGGYGAACAGTAGACAACTGCAAGAGGGAAGAATATAAAGACTACAGTATAGAGATAGCACGTAGCGATATTTATATATATGTGTGTATATATATATGTTTTATATATGTTATTTTTTTCCTGAATATTTTAACTGATATTCCTGAACTTCACGTGAAGTTCACATTTTTTTTTAAACCTCCAATATCAACTGAACTGACATTTTCAAGCTGTATCTCATTAGTCCAAGTTTTTCTTGCATGGCAACAGCTGCTTGATGTCATAGAGTTACTGTAAGTCAGAATTGCTTCCACAAATATCCCTCCCCTGTATTTGCTCTGGGATTGTTTTGCTTTTCTCCTTTTCTACTACCAGGTATGAAATCAAGACTCCAAGGAGTCTGGATTTTTTTGAATACTGCCCAACTTAGTTACTAGAGCACAGTTGGACTTTACTTAAGATTAAAACAACAGCGACAACAGCATGACTTTCTTTTTAGGAGGATTTGTCTTGACCCCCCCATTTTTAAGTGTTATTATATCTCCAAACATATTGTTCTTGTGCAGAGGCAGGTTTTAAATGAATACTGTCCCTCCATGCCAACTGCTACATATATAGAAGAGATAATAGACTTTGTTTTCTAATTTGCAAGATGATTTTATCTCACAAATAAACCAACCAACTCTCCCTGTACTGACTGTGAGAAGCTTATTACTGCTCCTGCTTCTGTTGCCACAACAGTTTTCTTCAGAGTCTAAGGATAGGACATTAAGGTTAGCACCTGAATACATGAGCCTTTCTGATAGTTTTCTTACCACATTGAATATGATAGGTTTCCCCATACTTGGAAAGCAGTAAGAGACCTCTCTTTTCCAGTCTTAAAGGCCAAAGTTGCCTGGCAGTGTTAGAAAAAGTAGTGAGAAGATGTGTAAATACTACACAAAAGATGGTCTGCGCATTTTCTTGCTAATGTCATTAAAGTGTCCTGTTAAATAAAGCAATTTGAAGCACAAATTGAACAGATTTGGCAATAGACTAATGTAGATAACACCAAGGGGAAGTTCGTACGGGCAGAGAAAAACTGCATGTTAGTATTAAAAAGCTATGCAACTTGAACCGAGAAGATGTTTAAAAATAAAACTCTGACTTTATTCTGTTCTAAAGCATGATCCTCAGTGATGCCAGTTCTCCATTCATCTTCTCTCACAGTATTAAGTATAATGTGTGCAGAGTCAGAGATGGATTCTGCACATGGTGAAAGTGGCATCCTGCTTTATAAGCCATTAATATTCATATGGTATTAATAAAAATGTGGAGACCCTGTTGTGTTTGTGCTGAGAAACAGTCACCTAACTCTGCCCCAGCAGCATTCAGCCCCCCAAATCTGGTATTTGCTCCTTGCAGAACAAAGTATTCATCTACCGTGGGAAGGAGTATGAGAGGAGAGAGGATTTCCAGGCACAGCTGATGAGTCAGTTTCCCAACGTAGAGGAGATGACCACGACCTCGGCGCCTGGAGAGGAGGTGAAGAACTCTCCTGGCCAGTGTATCCTTAACCGTGGCAGGTGACTGAGCAAAGGCTGGCGCTGCAASGCTGCAGAAAGGGCTTGTCCAGCAAGGCACACTGACCGAAACGTTGCAGCATCAATTAAATTCTTAATCAGCACATGGTGTGGTGAGCTGTGAATACTCAACTATTGTCTTTCAATGACTTGCCACTTCAGGCTTGGAAATGTCATTTATACCTTTACATCTCCTAATGTTTTACTTTCTATTAATTTGTTAATAATTTATTTTGTATTAATTTGATTTGAATTTGCTAAAAAACTAAATTCAGCTAATTAGAAGAGAAGCTTTTTTTGCTCTTAATCTGCTTTTCTCCCTCCTGTCTCTGAAGGCTTTAGGAAAAGGTACGTTTCAGCACACAGACGTTTTGAAAGCTTTGCAGCCTGCTGCTTCTTTGAGTTTCATTTTAAGAAATGCTTKTAATAGATGTTCTTTAGTTGTGCATAACAACTGTCCTCAAAAACTGCAAATGACAAAGCATGGAGCAGCTTGCTGTAATTATTTGCAAGTAAATCTTCTACACGTTTGCCCGATAGCAGCTCTGAATCAGGATGTACCCAGTCACTGGGCTGTTTCATGTCAAATGCTCCGAAAGCTTTCCCTTCTCAAGCAATCTTCATGCATCAAGGCAGCCGGTGGCACAGCAGTAATGCTTCAGAACAAGGTAGCTTCAAATGTATCTCTTCACCCCAAATGCACCAAAAATACTTGCTTTAATACTTGAACTGCCTTTCTGCTCTTTTATTTTTTGGATTGTTTGTTTTTACAAATAAGATTCCAAGTATGATTTTCACTCATGTTGTCATAGGAACTTTTTTTTAAAAATCTCTTGACAAACAAAACCGATGAGCAGTAATCAGAGCGCTGTTTTTCTATGAAAGTGCATTAGATTACAGTTTCTTAAACTGACAGATCTGAAAGCGCTTAGTTGTGTCCATCACTCATGTGCTGAAAGGGATGAAAGCCTGTTCAGGTGGCAGTTTAAGCTGCAATTTAGCTTGCGTGCCCTGCTCCTCTTCTAGGGCTTCCTCSTGGAAGTGTTTGCTGTTGTTTCTTCCGCAATTCTAAGCTGGCCAGTTTCTTCAGTCTTCAGTGCAGTTCATGTATGTTTTAGCTTTTAATTAAGTGTTTTCAAGTTCCRGAAACAGTGATGAGCGTTTGAATTGACTATTTTTAAAGCAGCAGATTGTCTGTTACCTCTTGTTGTCTTTYGTGTCTTCATATTCAGTTCAGATCTTCCCTGAGCTTTGTTCTGGTAGCTCAGCTGCTCCGGTATCACCTGTCTTTCCTGGCACCAAAAGCTTGCCTTATGTCACAAAAATTTTCCTAGGAGAATCCATCCAAGCCACCACTCGCCACTTTTTAGAGAGCACTAAATGATTTTTGCTTAGGAATATTATAGTGGTTGATGCATGTGACATTTTTCCTTGTGTTCTGATCTAAATCTGAACTTCCCTGGCAGAGCAGATATGAAATAACCAAAGCATCAGATGTTCATTTGTTGATTTTCCATAATAATCACATGAAACATTTCACATGCTCTCTTGAGTCTATTCTGATCGAACCTCCTGGCGTAGCAGTGGAAATACTGCTTCCTTTCTTCACTTTTGTGAAGCCTTGCCCAAAATAGCACATTAAGTTTGAGAGTGAGGCATTCAGGAGCTTGTTTTAAATCTTAGCTTACGCACTTAAGAAATAGCAATGCGATCTCACTTGTGGGCATGATATTGAAATRCAATATGTGTAGAAATACAGTATGTAAGAATGACTTATTTACGAATATAATCAAGAGTAAAAATAACACTTGCTTAGACAATCTGGCAGTAGAAGGGCTGCTTAATTACAGATGGCAAAGATGAAATGCTGAACATTACACTATGTGTGACTCAAAGCTGAACAGTCAAAGCATTAACATCAGACGCTGCTGATGTTTTTGCAAGTTGACTTTGCTTTAAAATTTAATGATTGATTCAGCGTGATAAGTTAAGCTACAGATATGTAGTCTCAACAAGTAGTAAAAATATTCAAGTAATTGATACTACATTTTACACCTTTTAAAATTAATGTTAACATGGTTACTACTGGCAGATTTTATCTACAGATTGTTCTGGGTAGATGCCTCCTTCCCTCTTCCCCCCCTGCTGCCCCAAGCTGCAATGTTTCACACTAGTGGTTATATGTCCTTAACTTTCCATCATGCTTTCAGACATTCAGTGTTTTACAGTGCAGCCAGTCCTGGAGGAGCAACCTAGATTCAAAAATAAGGCAGTACCYGATCAAATTATTAAGTAAGTGAATTTCTGTACAATATAATGAAAATCAGTCTATACAGAGYCATTATTTTATGCGCTCAGGCATTGTCCATTGATTTGCAGACCTTGCATTGTCTCTCTCTACTGGCTTTTGCGTTTCTTGGGCATTGCATAAGAGAACATCTGTCACTTGAACAACAGCACATGATTAGATAAGGGAAGGGGAAAAATCCATGCTTTGGGACTAAACTGGAGGGTTCAGTGCAGCTACTAAGACAGCTGACAGTGGGGATTTAGAGGTGATTGGCAGTATGAGAGTGTATGAGTAGAAGGCTCTTGTTTGACTGAATCTTGTTATGACTCACTTTGCCAAGTGCAAAACGTTTGGTAGCCTGAGTGGTTTCCATTGGTCCTGTACTTATCAGCAGAGACTAGATAATTTCTTCACCGTCCCACAGCTGAATTCAGAGCAGATTTCACCTTTGCAGCCTTCTCAATAGAATCTTTACTGCGATTGCAATTGGGTCACAACAGAAAGATAAGAATCACTCCCCCAAAATAAATGAAGCAGGTATGAGCTCAAGTCTTGTAGTAGAAGATTAAAAATGAACTGAGGTCAAAATTTCAGCTGGAATTCTTTTTAAAACCAGTAACTGAGAAAATAGCTTACAAATCTGGCCTTAAATTGTGTATTTTTATGAGAGTGCTTTATTGGCTCTGTAATTGTTAGCTACATTATTTGATGGTAATGTATTCTACCCAGAAAGTTTCAGATCTCTCAGATGGAGCTAAGTGATCTAACTTTGTATGGCAGGTTTTCTTTTTTCTTTTTTTTTTTTTTTTTTTCTTTTCTTTTCTTTTTTTTTTTTTTCTTTTTTTTTCATTAGTTTCAACTTCTTAGCTTGAGTCGAAAATTATTTTCCTGTGAACTAGCAAATCAGAAGTCCATTTAGCTGTTTAGAGTCTCTAATTTGTTTCTCTGGGCTTATAGAATATGATTTGGTTTTTGTGTAAGGTATTTCTGAAATATTTTCTGGCTCGCTGTAGAATTAGCTTTTACTTGAAATTGCTTTAAGTTGAATTATTCTTTAAAAGTAAAACTTTATGCCAAAAAGAAATACACTTTCTCTGCAGAGTGTAAGCCACTTAAAGAATCAGAGCTATGTGATGTCTGTTCTTTCAAATTAGCTGGTGTTGAAACTGAATGTTTAGGAGTTGAGTGGAAATGTGTGTTTGAGTGATTGAGAATGATACAGTTTGCATGAGACTTTTATATTGATACTCCCTCTGTAAATGTTTATATACATTTATTTACACATCAAAATAAGTTGTCCTTTATGGCTTCATATATTTAGTTTATTGAACAGCTGTTGTTCTGCATTGTAAGCAAATTCAAAGCAATTCTGCTTAAATTAAACTGGAGTGGGCAGTAGATAAAAATGACATAGTTGAGTCTCAATGAATGTATCCTCTAAGTCAAATACTTTTGACAAAATGTATTCCTTTTGTGTGTCATTATAAGCAGGTAAGCAGTACAGGTGTCACAGCACATGGGATAGCAAAAATATTTACTGCAGATTCTTCTCTAAGTTCTAACATTAATCTGGAAATTCTGTACCTGGAAGTTACACCCAGTGACAAGATACAGCATACCCTCCACTAAAATACTGGATGGGCCATGATTTATAGATAAGTTGTATTCTGAGTTGGTAGTAAGGTGTTTTCTCTTGAGCAGTTAATTTTCTTTTAATTAGAAATACTGAGTTGACACATTTCACTAGAATAATGGGTTCCAGAAATTTCTGAGTTCTATTTTTTAATGCATTTTTCTTAAATCTATCAGTTTTTATAAGTCCAACAATGTGCAGCGCTTCCACTATTCAAGACCAGTCAGAAAAGGATCTGTTGACCCTGAAAATGAATTTGCTGTAAGTAAATCAATGACAGGGTGATATTCTTCGGTTCAACATTAAAGTTGCTGTGATTGGTTTTTAATCTAAATCTCTTCTTGGTTCCTGTCAGATTATTACAGAAGATTTGATTTTAAGATCTGTTTCAAAAATGAATTCACTGTTTTGCATTCCCCAAAATATGTTATTCAATGATGTATCGTTGTTTCTGTTTTAGGTAAATGTTATGTAATAATCATGTAAAAAGATGTATAAAGAAATGAGACTTTCTCGTGCAAATTATCATTGTCAAGATGTCCTCTAAATATATAACAGAAGTATAGTCACTTGTAGTTTACACCTGAAGCTGTGAGGTTGGCAGTAAGAGGTGTGTGTCAGCTGCCTTCATTAGTTCTGTGAGATCTTGACATGCTGGAGTACTGTCTGCCACCCTCATTCTCTTGTATAATGGTATAACGGTGAAATGGTCTTGATTATTTAAATATCCTAGGAAATCTGCACTGCCGTGTTTTATTTTTCAGTGTCATGCATAGCAACATGAGTTTCTATATTGTACTTTTGGGAATACTCCAGGGAAAAAGCTATTTATTCCAAGGCTGTACAAATCACATCAGTTACATGTGTGGTCTTGAAGGAGAAAGTATAATCTGGGTGGAGAATGAGAGAGTGGCTGAATCGGGTAGTCATTCAACCTGTAATGGCAAAGTTAATAGAAGATACTAAAGATATAAGTAGTTTTACGTTTTTCTTTTGCTTTGTGTTAGCTTAGTGCCTAAAGATGACCTAATTTGAAATCAGGATAGTAATTTGTGCCAGTTGTCATGCTGGCTTAATTTTTGCAGTCTTTTTTATGCAAAAATAAATGTGCATATATTTCCCATTTAAATTTTTGTAACTCTGAAATCTCAGAAGACAAAAAATATTGAAATTAAACCCTTAAGTCACTTTCTCTTCCTGCTTTATTTTTTAATAGTCTATGTGGATTGAGAGAACATCATTTGTTACGGCATACAAACTTCCAGGAATTTTACGATGGTTTGAGGTTGTCTCCATGTCTCAGGTGTGTATTAAAATGCGAAGTACCCATAAGACATATATGTGAAATGTCATATACAAATAGTTTGTAAACTTATTATGCAAGACAAGCTTTTGCTATTTCCTTATTTTTATACTTATAAAATTTCTATTGTTTATGGCTTCAGGGGAGGGATATTTTACTGCTGGAATGATTGAATATTGATCAGTGTATCATGTATCTTACCTCTTGAACTGGAGCTTTAGGACCAAGTCCTTTGAGAACTGAAAAAAAGTCTGTGTCTGTAGAGTTGAAAGCTTTCCGTATGCATGATTTTTTATAGAACCTTAAATAGTTTCTTGTCCTTTTCTACATCTTAGAATTTATACAAGAGATTAGTTCTTTGACATATTTTCTTCTTTGCTGTGTTTTCGGTCATAAAAAAGGACGTACCTGTACTGTGTTTATACCTATACACTGATAGCAGTAAGAAACATGTCTATTTACAGCATCTTCTGTGAACTCATTTGGCAAATGCTATGCCATGTTTTAAACCCCCAGCATTTCACAAACGGAAATGACTTTAGCCTGACTCTGTAGTTATAAACCTTGTTTGAAACATACTAAACAAATGCTTAAAAAAAGAATGCCTAAAATGATAAATGTCTTTCAGAAGTCCAGAACTTGCCAAATACTGTGTTGTTGATATGTTGCTCACCAAAGATGTAATAGTTCTTAATACAGCATAAATAATTTTGCAATTGCATAGATTGTGACACTTTCTACCATATGTCCACAGTGTAAAAGTAGTAATAAAACAGTTTTTTTGTTTATTTTTTGACATAGTTATACTCTTATTTATCCTAAGGTAGTTCCTGTAACGCTGGCTTGATTGAAAACTTTATAAGAGGATTCCCTTGGGATAAAATGCAAGTGGTAGTTCTCAGGGACTCCCCTACCAGTGTCTCATGAAAGCTTGCAGGGTGTTTTTTATAAATATTAAAGTGTGCTTATGCCAACAAAAACTTGTAACTTAATTTGAGACTTATTTTTTCTACTCAGTTCTTCTGTTTACTCTTGGGAATGGATGAAAGCAACCTCAAAATTAGTTGCGTTCTTTACTAGTTTATTTATAAAATAGAAGGAGAGATGCAAAGCAGAAGGAAGTAAATAATGGTTTGGCTGTTTTTCTGAAATATATTGAGGCTAAATCTGAAGTCTTGCATTAGTTTCAGCATGTATCATGTTTTTCTTATTTTTCTGTCCATTCCGATTCSTGGACTCTTCTTATCCCTCTTGTAAGTCCTGTGAGTAGTTGGGATTTAGGCGATAGTAGCTCTGGCAGCCACACCAGCTTAGGCTGGCACAGGACTGGCGTGTATTTACATGCACTCACAGAAAGGTATCTAACAAGTAACTGGCATGAAATCTAAAAAGTACAGTTGGAAAAAGGTTTTCTGTCCTGTTACCCTTTTCTGATTGATCCAGTGAAAATGCCATTTTGCAGTATTAAAATAAAATAAGGCAAAAAGTCTAACTTCCAAGACCGGAGGCTCCTGTACCTCAATTAGTAGGAGAGAGAGATTATTTTCCCTTAGAATTCATGGAAAACTTACTCAGTGTCAGGTAAATACCCTGAAGCTTCCTAGTGGAACTAACCTGTTTAATTAAAAGAAGCCTTTGCAACAACAAATAAATATTGTTTATAGAGAACACTTGTGCTTCACCAAGGTTTAGAATGAAAATCATGTCTGGCTTCATTGTGTTTTTCTGCAGTAGCTGAAGTGATAATATAATTTAATTTTATTTTGCCCTGCAACTCCTCTTTGCATAAAACTATTTTACCTGCGATAATATTGTTTGGCTTACATCAACAAATTAACTATCATTTTCTTTTTCTCCTAATTGTCGTGTTTTCTCTGTACTGCATCCCCTGTTTTCAATGTAGTTTGTGTCAACATCCGTATGAAGTGATTAACTCTGATAGAATCTTCCTTTCCCGCTCAGATCTTTAGAATTCCCTGTGAGCTCTGTGCCTTTGTCTCATGCTTCCCATTCAACTGCTCTTCAATCTGTTATTTTTTCAACAGAAGATATCTCAGTAATGTTTTTCCAGTTCATTTTTTCTCTTTTTTCTCTTCTTTGTTCTCTTCCTCTCATCGTTGAGCATGACCTCATTTGATGGAGAACCTTCCTCAGTCTATCAAAGCTGTCGTCTGTCTACATGGTTTGGTTTACAGTGTTACATATGCAACACCAATCTCTTGAGCTTACAAGCTTAAGTCAGCCACTAAGCAGACTAAGGTTGAGCATTTCCCCCGCACATTCTGCCATGTTCTAACTCCTGAGAACAGAGAAGGGCTTATCCGTGCCGCTGAGGAGCGAGGAAGTCTTCTCCCAATCACGGTGCAGGATGTGCATGGACAGCTTCTCCACCAAAGCCTGAAGTGCACAGTTGAACACGCTGTCTCTATGTAACCACAAGTTGTTAAAAGAGCAAGGATATCTGTATTGGGTTCTTTTGCACTTGCTTTAAAATAAAAAGTTGTCTAATTCCTTATCCTCACAGCACAGTGATGCAACAGTGCCAGGAGGAGAACATCGTGCAGCATCATCTCTTACACGTTTCTTGTCAGCCAGCCTTCTCTTCCCCCAGTCCCTTGCTAGTGTATTTAGCAAAGATACTTGGTGTGTCCTGGTGCTCCTTCACCTTTCTTTTGTTGTTGGTGGTGGTTGTTTGTTGCTGTTTTGTAATTAGAACACTGTCAGGGGGTCCATCCCTTTTGTCATGCAAGTAGTGCTGCCCTGTTACCAAGCCTGAGAGAATATAGAGAACAGAACATGCTGCTGGCAATAAATATGATTCAGAAAAGCTCAGCTCTTCTCATTTTCTTTTCTATTTTTGACAGAAGCCAAATTACTCCTGAATGAATGGAGACAAGAGCTTGCTCTAAAAGACCTGACAGTTTCAGTAGCTGCAGTGTAGAGAAATGTATTGTGCTTTAATCTAGAAAGGGAGTATTAATGAGAGTATCAACAAATGGTGGAGTCAGCATCTCTGATACGGTGTGATGGTTTATGACTATATTAGCTGTTCCATTCTTCAAAGCTGTAAGCAGGCATTTCAAATCTCTTCTGCTAGACAAGAAGCTATTAAAGATTTTTCTTATATTTTTGTTTACTTTTTTTTTGAACTAGAGGACAGCTGCATGAAATGGGTTTTGTCCATTTACTGTTGGCAAAATGTAAATCCTTTCTCTGTCTTTGCGTATTCAGCCTTTCTGAGTGTGGACACAGGGTGATATTTAAGGCATTGTTCAGGCGCGCCCCTAAGGATTATGGTGGTTTGCACAATTGTTATTCCCTACCTCCTGTTTCCAGGTCTGTCAGTGGGATCATTGGGAAATGTTTCAGGGTGTTAGTACCACTAAATATTTCTAGCTTTTATCACCTTCTGATAATCATCTTAAATATTCCAGATTAGCAAAAGCCTGAAGTGACTGCAAGAGTGCAATTTTCAAGTATTTTTTTTAATGCCTGACTCTCAGCACTGGGTCTGGATGTCTGAACCTGACAGTACGTAGGAGTCATCATTCTACAAACCTGGCTAGGTCAGCTTTCCTGTGCACTTGTGCCACATCAGGCATTGAAATAAAGAGAACCGGTCCTCTATTTTTCCTCTCTATGTTGAAATACACTCATATTTACAGCTTGAGAAAAGATGTAAGCAAGAGCAGATGAATATGTTCATCTGTCATATAGATGTTAGAGCAAATAGTTGATAGGTAATCAACAGATGGTTTCCATGTATGATAGATTCCTGGAAAGAAGAGCTAATAGTTTGTTGAAACTATAGAGAAAATGAAATCTTCAATTGCATATACTTCCCTGCACAAACTAAAGTTTGGGAGATGTTAGATAAAGACTAATATAGGCTTTTTGACATTTTCTCATATTTGGTTTGTTTATAGACTACAATTAGTCCTTTAGAGAATGCTATTGAGACTATGTCCATGACAAATGAAAAGATTTTGATGATGATCAACCAGTACCAGAGTGATGAAAACCTTCCTATTAATCCACTCTCCATGCTTCTGAATGGAATTGTTGATCCAGCTGTTATGGGAGGCTTTGCTAAGTATGAGAAGGTAAGAAATTTAACGTAATTGTGAAGATCATCTTCAGAGGTATTATTTCTAATCCTTATGAATGATGCTTCTGTGTTCAGAGTAGCAGTGGCACAGAGGCTGGGGATATGCAAGTCGCATATCTATCAGTTAAAAGACCCTCCTATCCAGCTCATATCTGACACAGTCTTTGACAGCAGAAAGCAGCAGAACAGATGCTGGGAATGTACTTGAAGCTCAATATTAATTGCTGTCATGAAAATTTTAATATACATGGGAAATGAGATATACCTTTTGTAATGAAATAGGCTCTTAGGCATTGAAAGGTTTGGTCTGAGGTAAATCAATTTAAGTTTTCCCTATAGCAGGTTTGGAGGATTTTGATGTAGGTTATCTTTTTACATTGTTACCAGCTTTTCTCTGTAAATGAAGCCTCTCTTCAGAGCAATTTTTGTTGTTAAAAAAAGGGATTGCAAATATTAAATGTTCTACCAATACACTGAAAGTGGAATAGCTTGAGGAACTGAAGTATAAAAAGCTTGTCTGCAAGGCAGCCTCGTTAAAAATTTGTTTGTGTGGGAAGAAATATTAAAAACTTCTTTGCATCTTATTTATTAAAGATGATGATGCAAGTGAATGTTACCCTCCCAGCTGTAGAGGCCTGTTACTTCTGCCCGCCGTGCTCGGGAGGCTCAGAGTGCTGGGTGCTCTGCGCGTGTGCTGGACACGTGGCATGGATGTATGCGGAGGGCACCACGTGTTCTGGTGGGGTATGGCTTATGCTAGGCTTATCATAATTATTTGTTTAGACACTTGGCAGTAATGGATAAATAACCAAATTTGAATTATGTACGTAGGGGAAAAAAAAACTTTGGGCAGAAAAGGGCCATCAATATGCCTTCAGTATCTGATTCCTTCTATAGCATGCTGGCTAATGTTAGGTTATTACTTAAAATGATAATTAATGTAAGTGTTGGTACTGCAAATATGTGTGCACTTTATTGTTCAATGCTAATTGAAAAAAACGAAACAGTAAGGAGGTCAAGCTCATAAATGTGAGACAAACACTGAACATGTCTTAACAAAACTAAAAAAAGAGTATGTCAGCTGTCAGTTGATAAAATAATGCATTATCACTCAGAGCACCTGGTAGAGGGGCATGCAAATATTTCTCCATTTAATGGCCAGTATTATGGTCACCACTGGTTTCTTTTTATGTTGGAATAAAGGACTGATTTACTTTTATGCCTGTCTCAGGCTTTCTTTACAGATGAATATATCCGAGACCATCCAGAGGATCAAGAAAAGCTGAACAGACTCAAAGATCTAATTGCTTGGCAGGTAACACTTTCTGGCAGTGGTTCTCTGAGGCTTCCTCAAATCTTCCTTTTTTCTGTTTCTTTCTAGCAGGACAGCATAATGTCATTTAGGTGATTGTGTCATTTATATTACCCCCCCTTGGAGTGGGGGAGGAGGAGATAGAGAAGATTCTTCTTAGAAATCTGGTTCTTGCTGTGTTAATGCTGTCCAAGAAAGTTACTTGCAAAAGTGTAGCTGAAAGTATATCACATAAATCTCATAAATCACCATCCTCAAAGATTGCAGTGTAATAAAGTATCTTTATGTGTGTGTGTGTGTGTGTGTGTGTGTGTGTGAGAGAGAGAGAGAGAGAGAGAGAGAGAGAGAGAGAGACAGAAGTACAAAGTTTCTCTGTGTGACCATGAACATTAACACTTAGGCAGCATACAAAAAGGTTTTATTCATCATCTTTCAAGGTAAGATTTGTTTTAACTTAATATTATTCAGCTAATAGAATAACAAAGATGATAACGTAAAAGCAAGGATGTGAAAGGACCTGTAGAGGAGAGAGGKCAGAAAAAAACTATTATGAGAATATGTTCTGCATCATGTGATGTCTTTAATGATTTTTTTTAATTTGGTAAGCAAGCCATTCCTTCTGACAGAAGAGCTCTTAAGAGGTTTGAGTGGCAGCAGTCTGTACAGACCCTTTGCTAATCCTTTTTTATCAGGTGCTCCCTTTAAGGGAGGAGGTGTCCACTTTTTCAGTTATTTAAAAATATGGTCATGTGCCTTTTAGCCAATATACTATATCAGAAATCTTACCTCTTCTGGTTATTTGTCACTTGCCTCAGCCTGAAGGATGAGCTGTAAGAAAAGGAAAGCACAAGGGTAAAATGGAGCAAAGTGCAAACAGTCTTTGTTCGTGACTTGTTTTTGTACTAAAGCATTATTTGGCTGATTTTTTTACTTAGAGATATGGAGATTACAGAGGAAGACAGCTGAATAACACAGGGGAGAAAAGGAGAGGTCATATTCAGCAACCAGGCAGTAGTAGCATGTTAAATTACTGCAGCAGCTGTCTAAGTCATCATGTCCTTAAGCTCCCAGTAAACTGATTTAATCCTTCCACAGTAACTGAATCCTGCATTTTTAAAGTAAAATTAAGAGTTTGAAACCACTTGTCTGTAGCCCAGTTGGATATTTTTCATCCCTGTCTTTCCAGTGAGTTATGGCAGGCACCTTCATTAGCAGATGGATTAGTCCAGCACTATGTTTTAGAGACAGGCAATTTTTTGCAAACTCTCAAGTGGTGTTTTAATCTCATAAGGGATTAACGTTTGGATAGATAGGAGCAACAAAACAGTTACTTTGAGGCACCCACACATCTCCACAATTTTCCTGAGGAAGCCCACTTTTCAAGAGCCCTTCCCAAATTTGTAGTAAGATGCTTCTCTGCAATTAAAAGCTCCCGTGGAGCAGTGAGACCAGCTGACAAATCTGTCCAGCGGGCACAGTGTTGCAGTTGACTTGGCAGATATTCCAAATGGTGCTAGAGGGGTTGTCAGACCCAGTTTGATATTCTCACTTAGTTTTCTTTTTCTTTTTCTTTTTTCTTTTCTTTTTTTTTTTTTTCCTCCCCCTTTTGGTCCATTCAAGATACCTTTCCTCGGGGCTGGAATTAAAATTCATGAAAGAAGAGTTTCTGATAACCTTCGTCCTTTCCACGACCGAATGGAGGAATGTTTCAAGCACTTAAAAGTTAAAGTGGAAAAACAATACGGAACCAGAGAATTGGTATCGTTCCCCTTTTACCTTCTTTCTCCTACATTTTGTTTACTAGTGTTCTTCTGTGAACAAAAGCACAACTTTTGTTACTTGTGGGTGTTTTTGTGATCTGGAGGTAGTGAAATTTATGTTTTACCACCAAAGAGTAAATTAGGTCTCTTAATTAGTAAGTGTTCTGGAAGGTCTGGAATACTTCACTATCTCTATTAAAATCGAAATTCATTTCCATGTTAGAATAAGGAAAAAGAAATTCTCATGTTTATCTTCTTTGAAATTGTTTTCAGTTTTTTAGAGGTGTGATCAGCAATGGATGTCCACAACTTCCTGTGCTCTAGAAATTTCAAACTGTGCTCCAAAGCAACATGGATTTAATCTTTTCTATGTTAGCTGAAACTAAACTGAAATATATGGGAAAGAGCTTCTAAGCACAAGTTCTTCCAGACAGCTGGTGCGAGCTAGTAGGAGCGATGTTGTTAGTTGTTCTTTGGAATTGCACAGCAGTTGCTTTGGAAATTATTTTATGCTGCTGCTTTCAATGTTGATGAGCTTTTCTGTCTAATTTAATTTCTGAGATTTTATGATGATATGCTCAGGGTGGTCAGGATGGTTAAAGCTTTGACAWAGAGCATCTTTCATAGTCTTTCTGAATGTTGCAAAATTTATGTTACATAGCAGTGGAACGAGTTCTTGCAAAATGCAGTTTTATTCAAAGATTTGTGATGGCATGAAAAATCTTGGCTCAAGAAGCTTCTTATAAATTAATAAAGTTGGTGAATAGCAATATTTAAATTGTGCATAGGAGAGGCAGGAAAAAGTACCACTACTTCTGATTTACCTTATGTAGTTAGTATTCTTTCTGTTGGCTACCATGAGTTTGTTTTATTTATAAAAGAATAAAAGTAGAGTCTTAACAGATGGGTCTATATATTCATGGGAGCAGAGATTCTCATTTCATGTAAACTCTGCAAAATACTTGCAAAGAACTATTGAAACTATGAATGTTTCCCAGTCATCTGCTGGAGATGAAAATGTTAGTTAAAAAAAAAATGACTTTATCAGAAACCATGATTTAGGAACTTGGCATATGAAGTGATATCCATATTTTGATTGTTTTCTGGATATTCAAGAGAAAACGTAGCTGTGTGTTTTATTATAGCATGTTTCCAAAAACATTCATTCGTATGTTTACAGGAGAGGAACAGAAGTAAGCTGGAGAAGCAGTATACAGTGGGAAACACTCAGAACTTGCCTCCTTTTATGAGACTGATGATTTTCCCTGGGTTGAGCCTGCCTCCTCCTGCCAGTTATTCTCAAGCCAGGGAAAATCTTGCATGGAGGAAGAAGAGAGCCCAACTTTCTGCACAGTATAATTCTACACGCAGCCCTCAGAAAGAGAATGGGTGCAGAACTGGCTGAGAAATGTTAGCCTTGCTCCTGCCTTAATGGCCAGAGGAAGAGGCAAATGTCTGGAAATCTCAAATCAAACTGGTTCAGTTAATTTAATAGCAAATGATAAAGTGTGAATAACCATTAATATCAAACTTTTGATATTAAGATCAATGATGCAAATATCCTATTTGCGTTATGGTATCCAATTTACCTGCTAAAGGAGATTAGAAGTCAAAAATCACTTTTTTTTCTTCCATTGCAGAAGTAGAGTGATGCTGCAGCACATAGGGTCATGTCCAATCCAGGTATATGGTGACCTGCTGTTTTTACAGACTTGTTCTTACTGTCTCACTATTAGGAAAAGATGAACTTCATCCATCCACCTGCAAACATATAAAGAAAAAAGGCAATATTAAAGGACAGGCATGGCAGAAGGTTGTGAGCTGAAAAGGAATGTGTAATTATTGTTTTGGAGCAAGGACTGACTAAAGTGATTTGCCCAGTAATGGCCAGCCGCATGTCTATACCAAATGGGATTAGCAAGCACTGGTTTATTTGTTTACTTAAGAAAATTGTTAATTGTGGTTTATTTAGCACTAAATCTCTTCACTACAGCATTCAGGTTGAGGTCTTAGAGAAAGAGTATATCCACTCAGAAGAAACAAAATCACTGTAATTAATAGTGATGAGTAACTTCTCTCATGCCATATGTTAAAACATCTGTGCTATCTCAGAATCTACTGAGAAGAGATGAAATGAGTTTCACACAGACTTTGTTCATGGACCACGCTTTTCTTTTCCATCTTGTAGCCAGATTTCGATGACAAGAGAGTAGGACGGCCAAGATCAATGCTGAGATCCTATCGCCAGTTGTCGGTTATTTCACTGGCTTCCATGAATTCAGACTGCAGTACTCCAAACAAAATTGCTTCAGAAAGGTCAGTTATGAAGTTAATACAACTGTGATGATAATACATTTTTTTTACTCTGTCCTGTTTTATTGGAAGTAACAGAAAGTAACAGTAATTTTATTACTGTAAACAGTAACAGAAATTTTCATAGAATCATAGAATGCCGAAGGTTGGAAGGGACCTCAGAGGTCATCGAGTCCAACCCCCCTGCTCATGCAGGGTCACCTAGAGCACGTGGCACAGGGCTGCATCCAAGCGGGTTTTAAATTTTATTATTGCAATACTACTTAAAAAGTACAAAGCTTTGTTTTGTGCAAATTCATTTATGAGTGAAYGCAGCTTTAAAATGAATTAGCATTTTTCTGCTTGGTTTGCTTTCAGCCCTACCACTGCTCCCCATAAAATTCCCATGTGAGCTCTGACCCTTTTTACTTYAGATGTCCTTGAGCTAATGCACAAATCTTTAAAAAAGGATTTGATTTGCACTTCAGATTAATATACATTCTTCGTAACATTTTAAGATAGTATAATACCTCCTGAAGGCATCTTTTTAGTACCTAGTTACCAGCCGAAGGACATCATATACTTTTTGCAAGTTCAGTATGCACGGCTGCATTAAAAAAAAAAAAAAAAAAAAAAAGGAAGCCTAAGGAAAGGATGACCTGCATTTTTATTTCCCAGGGAAATGACATCAGAATACCCATGACTTTTAAAAGTATCACTTAGCAATTTTTATCGTTTTTCTTTTGTCCTTGCAGCTTTGAACTGGAAGCAGTGCTATCAAAGCCAGTAAAATCAGAATCAGAGGAGAATACTTTGCCAAGTAACCCTCACCCTGAGGTAAAAATGAGAAGGTCCAAAAAAAGAACAAAAAGAAGCAGCGTGGTGTTTGCTGATGAGAAAACGGTACCCGATATTTCCAACTCTGACGTGAAAAGTGTATGTTACTGACTTACAGCAGTATTTCTTGATTCCTAAAACATGAGCATGTTTACTCTTACATAGGAAAAGGAAAACAAATTACACAGAAATCTGGTGTAGTGGAAAACTTGTTACTCTTTTATAAAACAAAATGTGCAGGATACCGAGGCCATCTGCCCTGCCATGAATGGGATTTGCAAGATAAAGATACTGAGGAGGAGATAAATCAGTGGAGGGGGAAAAAAAAAATCAGAAACGAAGCTCTGAAGTTGCATAATTCTGAATCTTGTTTGACTGAAATGGAGTACTACATTGGGAAGGCTCAGCAGGCTTTCCTGTTGAGAAGTAATTAATTTCTTGCACTGACATTTCATGGCATCTCTTTACAGCCAGGATACTCATCCAAAACTTGATGAGTTCTCTTCATCTCTACTTTGCTTTGGGACAGGCAGCTGGAAATTGCAAGACTGGATACAATATTCCTGAAATGGTGCCAGACTGGTCCTCTGAAGCACCGTACTGTCATGGTGCATAAGGAATCTGAGTGACTTTGTCATACTCCTAGATCAGCAGATAGATTTATGTAACTTACATAGTCATTTCTTATACCTTAGAAGGCAATTTTATTTATAAAAAGAGAATTCGCTAATGAAAATCTGAATTTTTTTCTTCATGATAGACAAACCTCATCTAAATATAAATGCCAAGCAATAACAGATGACTGAATTAGAGGGGAGAGAGACAAACACTGTTTACTGTTTGCAAAACCAGTTTGATTACCACAAGTTTTTGCATTGGTGATTTAGCTTGCGGTTAGAGCATAATCCAGGACTGGCAAGGTGTTGTTCCTGTTGCCAATTGCTTGCCTTGAGCCTCAGGAGATGTTTAGATCTCACTACAAAGCATCTCTGTTTGGCAGCCCCTGGGAAGCACGCAAAGCTGAGACTTTGGACAAAGTCATGTTAGGCTACCTGAGCACAAAACTGTGACAATCAATAACTGTCTTTCACAGGGCTACATGAATTCAACAATAAAACATAGTTGCTTCTAGCTTCCAAGCTCAAATTTCCTGCTACCCTCTCCTATCAGATTTGCATAAACCTTCAGGTATGAAGGTTTCCTAGAAGAAACAATGAAAGGATAGTTTAAAATAGCAACAAGTGAAAAAGCAATACATAGATTTTGAGCTTTCTGTGTGGGTAGCCTCGCTTGCATTTGGATCAGAAATAGGTGCTATGTGCATTATATTTTTGTTTCATGCAGTGCTGCTCAGTAAACTAAATATCAGTAAGGAATATAGCCAGGCCAAATAAAATTACTTTATTTGTTATCTTAATGGATGAGGCTACAAATAAGGGGTAAATTTAAATTTTTACATCTACTTGTAAAGAACAGCCCACAGAAAGCTGCAGTTCATTCTCCTGTTGTCAGGTCTTTAAAAACAAGTGGAAAGAAAGACTTTAATCTGTGAATACAAACATTTAAGTATAATGTTTTTCTCCCCCTTCAACAGAGGGATAATATTAATTAATGTCTCGGGTATGAAAAACTGAATCATTTGTAAAATGTATGTGTGTCTCAGATTGTACTGTAGGTTTAAGTTCCCTATTAGGTTAAYGCACACTCTGTTTTTAATAGCACATTACCTTTAGCTGGAGGCATGACCTCAGCCTGTGCTAGTTCTTTCTGCTCATAAAACCAGGGAGTATAGACTCCTTAACAGATCCTTAATGATGCAAATTGCCTGATTTGTATTTCTCCACAATGGTTAACGGGKCTTCAGAAGATGATGAGGTTTTCCAAAGTCTGAGCCTGTTTGCATTTCACCTGAGCTAGCAGCTCACAGAATGGTGTGACTGGTGGCTGTTTGGGCACCAAAATCTAATTTCTCCAGTCCAGGAAGTTTTGAGCAGGACATTGAAAGCCTCTGCACTAGTCTGTTCACCTTGGTGAATGTTTTCTGGAAGGCACGCTTCAGCAGGAAGAATTGCTTGCATTAAGTAGAACCACAACTTCACTATTAGCTCTTTGATATTAGCTCACATTTGTTAATTTGACTCGGTTCATCATGAATGACTTTTTTTTTTTTTTATGGAACAGTTGTCACGGAAATACGAGTTCATGAGTGACACCAATCTCTCGGAGCATGTAGCAGCCCCTCAGAAAACATCTGTCCTCAAACAAATGAGCTTTGTCAGTCGCTCCATGCCTACTATCACAGGTAGGAGGCTGAGGGCGCTGCACAGCTGGCTGGCAAGATGGGTGAAGCAGCAATGGATTTGCTGCAAGCAGCAGCAGGTGGCTGGCCTGCCTCTGTGTCTTTAGTTTTAGTGCAGACATGTAAGGCTGCACTGTGGTTACTGCTTCATCATGTTGTGTGGCCTGGTACATACCAGTGCCAGAAGTATTCCTAGAAGTGTAACTGAGGTTGCACTTCATTTCTAGGCCAGAATATACACAGAAAACACTATCTGTTTCATTTTCCTTTACCACCTCCTCCTAATCCTAGAACATCCCACTTCTTAGCCTGCACTTCATCTATCCCTGTCACTGTCCCTAGGTATCCAAATGCCTGTAACAGGCATTTAGCACAACAAAACAGTGGTTYCCCCCTAGAGTATCATTGCCAGCTTCCTTTTCAGCTATGTGTGTCTTTATTTTTCCTTTGTTCAGATAGGTTCATATTTTTCATGATGCAGTTTCCATGTAATTAGGTTTGATTGATGTCATGGGGATTCTTTTCTTATTTTTGTATTCTGAGGATATGATTAGGTTACGAACTCTCATTTCTCTCTGGTAATTGCAGTAGCCCATTATTTTGAACTCAGCTTTCCCACACGCTTCCTTTGCCTCTCCTTCCTCAGTTTTGTTTTGTGCACCCAATMTCTTTCTCTTCCCAGGATTAACTATGTCAGTGAGCCCTGCGGCGCCCGATGAAACGATTGCGTCACACAGGCTCAGTCAGCCTGTGTTCCCTTCCACCTCAGATGGTGACAAGAAAAATATGAAAAAAAAGAAAGTGAACCAGCTATTTAAAACAATGGTAAGTTGTGTGTGTTTATGGGGAAAAGTCAGTATTGCTTCTGTAAGAATTATAGACTATAAAATAAAATGACATGGTTTTAAAATGCCACAAGCCCCATAAGTCAAACTTTTTCTTCTGAGGAGTGGAAGCTTGCTRGGGTTATATATTTGTCTCCTGCTGTCCTTTTTGTTTTAAAGATGTGTGCCTTAGTCTGTTCAATGCAGGAAGGCTCAGATGTGCAGTTTTGTATCCATACCACAAGAGGTCTCATTTGACCAGCCGATTTTCATTATTCGATTTACRTAACGCTTATTAGCAGAAGAGGAAAGTAATTATTTGTTGTTTGATTTAATTATATTGGGTGGTTAGCACTAGCATCACAGTGAGGGGGGCACAGCAAAGCATGCGCTGTGCAAGTCGGCTCCTGCTGCCAGATGTGYTTCCAAGGAGAAGCTGGTTTATGGTAAAGCCAGTAATGTGGCCTAGAACAGTTTTTTATTTAGTAAACCTTTTAGTGACTTCTCTGGAAATTAAAAAGGGGAAGGGAGGGGAGGTTTCACTTTTATTCATTTATTTCTGTAGAATTTCAAAAAACGCAGATTGTCACCTTCCAGGAGAATATAATTAGGAAATTCTGCATTCAGATATCCTTACTTGTAGGGTTTGAAACCCTTGTCTGTAGGGTTTCACTTGTTCTGAATTTATCCCATACTTGTTCTTYTAAGACGCAGGAGTAACAGCTTTTTAGCATGATCTTACCGCATTTAAACCTACCTTAGGACAAAATGACCTTTTTTACAAGTCTGAAAAAGGTCTGAATAAGGTTTAAAATATTTTTTCTATAGTGATTCCATATGAGTAGAATCATGGGAACAGATTTAAATACAGGTTCATGGTTTTACAGAATAGAGAAATTATCCTGCAAATTTCTCTATCAGATGTCCAGGTTTTGGTCCAGGCTGCAGATCTGATCTCTAGTCACAGATAAAGGATACAAGCTTAGTAATAAATATACATGTTAGTGAACACAATACAGTAGTCATTTTAACCTATGGCACTTTTCCTTTTTTTAATTTTTTTTTTTTTCCCCCAGCGCATTTCCAAAGTTCTGGAAGACGGAAAGCACTCTTCTCTGGAGCACCATTTCAAATCTTCTACGGATCTGTGAATGTCCAAAACCATTTGCAACCAAAAATAATSACATAAATCTATATCTATATCTCCTTTTTTTATATGACTGTCTACTGTAGAGAAAAGCACTGATACTGTAGATAGCTAGTAGAGAATACAAACGACTGTATTCATGGGCTCTGATAACAGTTACTTGTGATATAGATAGAGGGATACAGACTAATAGCATTTAAAGAAAATACTACAGGATGTGCCAACCAGGATATGGAACAAAAGTTTATTGAGCCTCTTTATTACACAAGTCAAAGGACATTGTGTGCTCCCTGGTGATAAAACTCATGCTGGCAAAGATTGATGTTAAAGGGCCATCTGCAGTGCTTAACATATAAGTTAATATGCAGTGCTTTCCAGGCTGCACAGAAGTTACCATTTTGTGCAGCTTGTATAGATAGACCCAGGCTAGCTTTAAGCTACTGTTGGCAGTGTAGTCAAGGCAACAGGCAGCTCAGCACGAAATAGCCRCTGAGAATGTAGTCCCTGGCACCGCCGGGTTTTCCAGGGCTCCCGTTGGGCTGCTGTCCCTACCACACTGCTGTAGATGATCAAATCTTTGAAGAGTGATGTCTGTGACACTGACACTGTATTTCTGAGTTCTTTTCAGAGCAGCAACTGCTATATCGAAATCACGTGCAAAAGTTTCTTTACTCATGTACAAGTTGATATCACATCCAGCATTTTCTACTGTTCGTCAATAAAATGTTTAAAGTTTCTTGTATTTGCCTTGAAAATTTCTCAGTGGAATCTCTAGGTGTGATAATATATTAGTAGTATCTTACTGGCAACATATGTATTTCTATGAATCCATATATAGTGCTCTCCAAATGTAATTGATACTCATGAGATAGAGCTGGAAGATAATGCCTTATCAGCATGAAACTAGATAGCAAGGTCAGCAACTGTCATTTTCTGATAACCTGCCAGTTCTTTCTAAAGAAAAGTACTGGCCAAAAAGGGGTTCTTGATGTGAATAATTAGATTCTCTCACCTCTATATTTTTCAGGTATCTGTGATATTTATTSATTGAATAAAATGTGACCATGTATAAGGTGGCAGATGGGAGATTGACCTTGTTATCATTTTTATGGATGCAGGGAAGAGAATAGGGCTAAAACCTGTGTATTTTTCTAAAGAGTTTGCATTCAGCAGGAGTAATTTATTCAATAAATTTAGTCCCTCTTTGCAAGCGACTACTGTGAATCTGGTTTTCAATAGAAATGATTAGTAGTTGGTGGGTTTTTTATGAAAATTCTGAAGGATTARTTTTAGACAGAGAAGTCCTTTTCACTGAAAGAACCATAGATCTCAAAACCAAAGGGTCCAGTTTAATTAATGATGGTTTGTTGGCATGGATATCAGCAGATTTTTTTCTGCTTCATTTCTTTTCAAAGCAACKTAATACTGTTTCTGAGGAAACACAGAGGAAGAACAAGACTTTTCGAAAGCAAACCAACAAAACCCAAATTCAGTTAACACAGTAGGTGTGAGCAGAACAAAGTAAATGGTTGAGGTGTGTGTTTTACATTTTGCTAATCTGGGAGAAGTAGGGGAGGGTGCCCAAGTTGTCCTGCAGTATTATTTGCAGATAAATTGAAGAAATATTTTTATGATAAAAGATATTTGGAAAGAAATAATTTGGTTTTACTAGGAAAGAGTRAGGACAGGAAGATTTAGCTACTGTTTTTTCTATGTAAAGATAACTGTTAAAGGCTGCCTTTTGTCTATTGTATCTTGTAGCTATGCTTTCATCTGAAAATGGAATATAAGTGTTTCAGGTCAAGCAGTTATGAGAACTATAATTACTGTGCTTCAGAAGAGAAGAACAGAGGGGAAGGAAGAGTCCATGAACAAACAGAAGGATGGCAGGAGTGCAATGTCCAGATGAAGTTTGGTGTCAAGTTGAGTGCCTACCCACCAAATGCAAGGTTCAGACTTATTTTGCTTTTGATTTTAGCATAATTTTTGATGAAGGATGTAGATCTACACTAAGCCAGTCAAGCATAAGYAAAATCATATTGGTTGTCCARTATCACAGATTTGCAGTCTTTTTGMCAGCACAATTTTGGATTGGCAATTAATTATCTTCCACTAGCTTAGGTAGTCCATTTACCCCCATTTTCCCTATGTAGTGATACTTTCCAAGTCCTCATTATGAACTTATGAATTTATTGTTCATGTTTTTGGCAAGTTTGATATTGTTAAAATATATTTTTTTTAAAGAAAAGGGGGAGGGGAAGGGGGCGAGCTGATCTTTAGGAAGATGTACAGACTATCCGTAAGGGTCAGGCTTCTGACATGGAGAATCTAATGGGAAAAAGTGTTTTATTCAAGTTTTTGTGTACCCCAGAGTGCTTTTGCTCTTGACCTGAGAATTACTATAATACACCTGTGTATTTGCTGCAGGTACTGCTTGACAGGGAACTTTTCATCTGTAACACAGGCATTCTGTAGTTTGTTTTCTGTTAGACAATGTAAGTTTTGGATGAGTAAGGAGTGCCATATCAGTTATTGAATATGCAGTCTGCAAACACATTAGTCATCTCTGAGTCTGTGTTTTCCATTCTCCTTGTTGCTACTGTTTGGCCTGGCTTTTGGCTTTTTCTCCAGTTCTCCCTGATATATTCAATCTACTCCCTTATCTTTTTTTTTTCCAATGACTGATCTAGTCCCTGATCTGTCTTTATAGACTCATTATGGCAGGATTATCATTATGTGTCCTGGGAGACTGTACGCTTGCCTCAGTAAAAGAAAGGTCTGAGAGTTCCTCAAGGTTTTAAAAGTACAGGATTTCAAAGTGTAACTGTCTTCTCCTTTTCTAGCATGTTTATATTTATTGCAAGGTGACAYCAAACAACTTACAGCAGTGTAACATGTGAGTAGATCTTCCTGGATGCATCTGTAATGCATCATATGAACTCTAACTTAAGTAAAGTTAAAGAGAATGACAGTTTCAGATGTGGCCAATTTCTTCATGTTTATCACTAAGGAATTCGGCTTCATCCTAACGTATGAAGAAAAGTCATTAGAATTTACATGGTGGAATAATTCATTTTCCATGTGGGATTTGAAATGCAGGGGAAATTTGATTCCACAGTTTTACAAATATAAAGAGATTTTCAGGGAATAACAGTCAGTTTGGAAAGCATAAGCTAGTCAGACAGTGCTGGGAGTTTTTAGTACTAACTGCTGTATTCTACCTTAGTGTTTTCAGGCATCAGCCATTTCACTATAAAACTTAGCTGAGGAGCCGTTTCTAACCTGGTTTGGCAAAAAAGCAAAGACCGGTGCCTAGCACATATTCTGGCTTGCAGTAGAATGGACACTGAATGGACGGGTTAATGCTGCCGTGTTAGTAAAATTCCTGAAATTTCTATGGCAGGGAGATTCGGGGTGTGAGTTGCTTTCTTTGTCCTAACGTATAGCCAAGTGCAAATGCAGGTTTATTGCTGCTTGCTTCGTTGGGACCAGCAGAGCAGAGTCAGAGCTGAATGTAAATGCCAGGAATCCTGCAAGAAAGCACTTCTGGAATGATGACAGGGAAACTACTGGTGAAGTGGAGAGCACCTGGAATATTTGACTTCATCAGTTGGAATATGAAATCTCTTAATTGATTCAGCAACTGTAAATCACACAGCAGAATTTGTACCCAGAGTCATGATGCAATTTTACGCTGATTGTACTAATAAGCCTAAATTCCTGCTTTGAACTGGGATAAATGCCTGAGTGTTTGCCTGTGCTTGCAAACATGCAGGTTCCGACTCAAGGTGTTTACAGCAGCTGCATCATGTCTGGCTCCTTATCAAGTTTTTTTTTTTTCATTTCAATGCAAGTCAGAGCAGTGGAAATCCCTTTGATACAGTGATGTCATTTAAATCACCAAAAAGCCAGGGAAGCTCCCACATATGAAGTCTCTCACCCTGCTTATGAGAGAGCCCTTTCAAATGAGAAATGCTTTATAAAATAGCAAGGTAAGGGACAAGGCAGTTTTGTTTGCCAGTAAAACTGGCTTCTACTTTAAGCCAGGTCCGATATTTATATTTAAAGCCATCCGATCACATAAATTTCTAAATTTGCTCTTCCATTTAAGGATTTGAGGTTAATTGTCATGAGAATACCCCAAGTCCATTTCTTTTGTTCCAGCTTCAGTGTAATGTTAATTAACAGATAAAAAATTGTCCTAGAAACTGGTTCCATATATGCTGACCTCAATAGGAATCATCTATTAATATAGATGATTRTAAAGTCAAGCCACTAGCTAATGAAAGAAAGAAAACACAGATGAAAATAGAGAGAAGGCCTAGGGCATTCTGTTTAAAACAGCAATAGCAAGGATCCATTATCCAGACAATAGAGTCAAGAATTATATGTACTTACAAAGACACAGGATGTTTCTCATATAGAAACCTACAAAACTCAGCCAATTTAAAGCCAAATTGTCTTCTGCCCTATTTCTCCTCATCCTCCCTTCTTTAATAACTTCTAAGAAGGAAGGAAATATTAACCATTTAATGATCCTTTTTCTCATTAGCTTTTGGAGAGYGAGTATTTCCATCTCATTACATTAAAGGAATATGGAGGCCTCCATGAAGCAAGTTCGCAGTCATCCCCACTCCTGGGTACTTTAAAGTAACCACGAGTACTTAGCTACCCACTTTTCTCTTTCCAGAACCAAGTTCCTACTTCCTCCCAAGGTCTTTTCGGGAGAGGACATTGAGCAACATTACTGGGGCTGCCCACAGTTCTAAGGACTTCAGCATTGGCAGGATTTACTGCTCTGGGGTGACTGGAGGGGTTATTCTTTATTGACTCAGTCTGTAATTTTGTCTTCTGATTTGCTGTTGTGATACAGCGTGTGCTAAAGATTAACACTATAAAGGAATAATTGTTCTGCAAACAAACCCAAGCTAAGCCATGCATCTCATAAACTTTAAAATGTTGGATAAATCTAACTATGTTCTTAAAGTCGGTAGGACAGTTTGATTAGTTTTCTGGACAGCATTCCTATTTGTCTTTTTTTTGTCTTCCAGCATAGAAGAAAACCTTACTGTGCCATGACTGACATTTCATACAACTGATCCCAGAATTAGATGGCCACTGTGAGAGTAATTCTGCCTTAACAGATACGATTTGTGTTACATGAGTATTAGTATATGCCACAACTCTATATACCAAATAATGCACATTGCTGTTCAACTTTCATTACTGACAGACTATTGTGAGAAGGTATGAGCAGTCTGCTCCACAAATAACTCTTCATAGGCCTGCTGGTTTATTTGAATGAATCAGTTCAGCTGATGGTAGATGGTTGCTGATATTGATACAGTGGA